TAAATTCAGTGAATGAATTCAAATTAGAAGTAATAGGTTTCAGTTTTCATTTGTGTTTTATATTGGCACTGGGGTTTTTTATTGTGAACAGTCCACTTCCAAAAAAAAAAAAGGACCCAGAATTAGATTGTATAGCTGATTAATTAAAGCTAACTGATTGCACTTGCACCACTCACAAATTAACTCCCCACTTTGCATGAGAGGGTTTAAACACTCTAAAAAATGGCTAGCAGTTAAATGCATAAGTCTAGCACCAGAGAGTTCTAAGTTCATGTCCCCAAAATTTGCCTAATTTGCAGCAAAAAGTTTTATTCTTGGAATGTCCTTCTCTAAACACTCCGCCTGCAATCCAATGTTCAATACACTTGTGTAACAGTGATTTTAGCAACACTCCTGTGAGGAGCTGTCTATTATCAGCACAACTGAATTTTTTTTCTATATTCTTTCAATAGTCACTCTTCTAAGGATCACTATAATTTCAACATCTACTGAAGCCGCAAATCCTTGTTACTTGAGATAGTTGTGGCCCAGGAGTCACTGCTTAATACCAATATACCCTTTTTTCCTCTCGATTTCATCACTTATTTGTTTGACTGTTAGCTCATGGTTTTAACATTGGCTTTGCAAACATTCAGTCTTATCTGTTCTGGTTCTTTTCTTACAATACCTATAGAAAAAAAAAATAAAATCAAAAAGCAGCACAAAAGACACCTTACAGAGCTGATTTTCTTACCAGGCTTTTTTATCCCGTTTGGTAATGAAAACAGCCTGTGGGTCATCCTGGATATGGGGATTTGTATTAATGTCCAGGCAATATCCAGCTGCTGCATTTTACACAGGAATGTTTACTGCCAGATTTCTTCACCTCACTCTTCACTTTTACTCCCCAAACATTGAAAATACAGGATTTTTTTTACAAAGAGGCAAAGAAACAAATCTGGAGCAGTTCCTCCACAGTGCAAGCCTTCCCCTGCACTCCCAGTCCATGGCCAGTTTGGGGCATAACAGCCTAGCAGGAGGAAAAAAAATCAAGCTCAATTTTGCTGTACAGTAAAGTGGGTTTTGGCTCTGGGGTATCACGGAGTGATTCTGGGAATACCGAGAAGATGACAATTTGGATTTTAAATGACACTGTTTTTGTGGAGTAGCAATAGAAAAAATGCAGCATTTTTACAGCCTCACAAAAGATACAGGAGCCTGAAAAGGCTGAAGTTTTAGAACTGTGACACAATATAAAAACCACCACTTCACACTCAGTATTTTCTATCATCTCACACTTGCTTCTACAGAAGAAAAATGACCTCCTAATTCAAGTTCATTTAAAGTGCAGCTGATCATCAAGACCTAAAAGGAATTTTCATTTGTGAGGGTAAAAAAAATCTTTCCTGTCCATTTGTGGAATTTATGTCAGATCTATAATGCAATAAGCTCAATACTCCATCAGACATTTTCTATTTAACCTGAAAGGGGACTAAGTCAAATCACTTATATGCCTATGTGTATGATTTGCAAAGAGGAGCAAGTGTAGCCACAGTGAGGATGGAAAATATCATGGAGTGATTTTCATGCCTTCAGAGTAAGTATTAGGAACCTCAAGTGCTCGATCACAAAGCAGTGATGAAAAGGTGAGATCTCCTATAAAATATCAACGGGAAAGGCTTAATGTGAAGAGTCCAGATTTACTGGGCTCAAGTTTAAAAAAAAAATGGAAAAAAGTAAAAAGAAGAAAAATGGCAGATTTAGTTCTGGATTAGGCTGATGTCATGACCCAAAACCAGGAGCACAGCCTTTTAAATATTTATTCATATTCTCATGGCAAAGTCCCCCACAATTGAATAATGATCTCTGTATATCTTTTTTATGAACCATATGATAGAGTTTAACAGCTAATTATAACACCACTACAGAGATATACTGAATAGATAAAATATTAGAGGAGATACCTCCTTTTAACATCAGGTCAATCAAAGCCAAGAAAAAGCCCTGTGCTCATCTATTCTCTGGGCAAGATCCAAAACCTAATTTTGATACTAATACTGCATGAAGGCCAGTGTTAGAAATCAGCTCCAGGACTACAATCTAAATACACAAATACATCCGGAGCTTCAGCATGTGGGGCAGGTGGTGGGACTGGTTGAGGACCAGAGGACATTGCCTGGCATTTCCATACAGGCTACTCTTTAAAAGGAGATATAAAACTCATGGGGCTGAATGCAGGAGGGACTGTGAACCAGCAAAGAAGGGATTCCAAGGGAAATCTCCACTGAATTTTAGGTTCCTGCTTTTTAAAGTCTTTGCTGGAAATCTCTGGATGAATCTCAACAGCTCTCTGCTGTTTTCTTCCCTTCTGAATTCCTCAGTATTGTTCCATTTGTTATGTGTTGTATGAAGGGGTAGAGCACCTGATTCACATGCATTTAAAAAACAGGACAGCAAAGCAAAGAGTAGTTTAATTGGTTTAAGTGATGATGAGTCCATTACTTATTACCCTATTACTTTATTACACAGGAAGTGTAAAAATGTCTTGAGTTTAAGAAAATGTAATGGAAAATTAATTAATTCTATCTATCAAGTTAAGGAAAACAACAGTTATTCCAACGTGAGAACTTGCTAAGAGCCTTTTAAACCTGAGATGTCCCTAAATGGGGTGTAATTAGCAGACATGGTCCAAAAGGGAATTGTCTCAGCTGGCCTGCAGAGAGCTCAGCCACTCTTGTTCTGCCAGTGCAGATGAGGGAGGAGTGACCACGCAGTCATCTTTTCTAGGAGGTTTGCTCAAATAGAGAAACACATCACAGGCTTTATAAAGTCACAAATGTCTTCAAAATTTCCCTTTCATGGGTATCTAACTGTGGATGAGATATCACGCTCAAGGGTAGTATTAAATACTCAGAATTGCTGGTGAAATGAAGCGCTCTTTCTTGATGTGTTTTTCAATGCTTTGTCTCTCCACTCCCATTTTGAGTCAAAAGAAGAGAGATCTAGGTTCCAGAGGAGTGGGATTCAGGAGTGGGTACTGAAAGAGCCACCTAGTTTGGGGGGATCATGTGCAGGACTGGGATCAGTTTTGCACAACCCACTGCCCAGAGGCACAAACAGAAGATAACATTTACAAAAGAAACCTTCCTACAAGAAATTGTTAAAGGAGACAACATCAGTCTGGCTAATGACTCTGAGGACAAGTACATTGAGAAATGCAAGAGAAACTATGCATAGAGACAAATAAATAAACCCAACACCACAGAATAGCTGGAGGCAGATCAGAAATGAGGTCATACACAATTCTAAAAAGTAAAAAATGTGGCTTCAGTAGAACAGTGAATACAATATTTTGAATGCCATATATAAGCCAGGAACATGCTTTCATCTATGTGACAGAGTCCAGAAAAACTGATTTTTACATTGTTCTGGCATTTTCTTTATTTATTTATATTGCTTTATGGCAGATTATTGCCATAAACTTTCAGTTCTTAGTTTTGCCTAATAACAAAGTTCTATACATTGTTTGTAGGAAACTTTGCATCTGCTTACATGAGATTACTTACTCAAAAAAAGGCAATTTTTGTTTCCAGGATGACAGGATTCTTTATGAAGATAAGTAACATGCCCTGACTTCCTCTCTCTTTGCAACGTTTCCCAATTATAATCATTAAAATATAAACTCTGACTGACTTAGAGAACAAATAGTCCTTCTGAGGTAACCAGGCTTACTCACTTGAGTAAGACAAGTAGAATTGGATCCTCATAAAGTAAAATGCAGAACTACATAAAGATGAATGGACTCTTATATATAAAAAATAATTCAGCAGCACTATTTGGCAAAAGCAATTCTCCAATAAATAAGGATTTATCTACTTCTGTCTGCTGTCAGAAACTGGATTACTTGCTGATGGATAGCAGGTGCTTTCAGTAAAAATGCAGAGATGTTTTGGTAGCTTGTTTGTTGCAAACATCGACCTAACATATGCTGTATGGCAAGAAAGCTATGCTTGGAATTAGTATTAGAGTAGAAAAGAGTAAAGCTGAAATCTCAAAGGTTGTCTGAGCCAAACTGGAGATTATCCAAGCTAAAGGAGTAGGGCGAACAGTTAGAATGAGATAGCAGTCTGCAACCCCTTATTTTTTTTCTCCTTAATAGCTCTAGTATTCAGGGTTACCAAGGCGAATAGTGTTACTCAAATTATAGCAGTTCCCATGAAGAACAATTCTAGTGCTGGGCGTACTTTATGAACAAAGCAGATACCAGATACATCACACAAATGTTCTCATTTGATCCAAGGGTGAATTTGCAAAGCAGCTCTCTAGAACTGGTGCTGCTCTGGAAACAAACCCAGAAATGAGCTGGAGAGGCACCGTTCCCTCTTGGTCTGCCATGCCCCCCCACCTGTTTCACACTGAGTGTTTCACTACAGCCATACACAGCCATTTCATCAAACCCTGAAACCAGTCCACAGCTTCATTCAACAGTAGCACTAGTCTAAAGTTTGGTGGGTTTTTTTGTTTCATTTTTTTTTGTTGTTGTTTTTTAATATATAATAATTTTCTTTCTGTTCCATGCATGCTTGCTATTTAATTTTTAAGTAGTTTACACACTGGAGTGGATTGCAGTCAGTTCTTTCCAGCATACATAAACAGTCCTTTCATTATCAAAAAGGCAAGCCTTGAAAGAAGAGTCAAGCATTTGGCACTGGTTCAAGTTACTGTAGCATAACAAGAGACTGGAAACAAGACCAAGTGATTAATTTGGCATCTCATTTAATTCATTTTTATCACTTACTTGTTAACTCTGATTTTAAGCTATTGCCTTGTCCTGAATTTTTATTCCAGATTGTCAGAGTGAAATACTGGATTATTATCGTAAAAATGTATACACCCAGTTTCCATTCTCTGGGCGCTTGCAGATATTTCTTCAAGGTGTGGGACATACCTATTTTCTCATTAATTGAAAGTCAGTGGTTCAGGCGAGCGGAACCGGAGGCCGTTCCCCCCATCGCTCTTACCTGTTTGAGAGAGAAGTGGAGTGTAAGGGACTTTCGGTTCTATTGCACTCATGGGCGGAGGTAGCAAGGGGTTGGCGAAGCTGCGCAGGGGGTGCGTAGGGCGGACACAGGCGGTGGGGATGGTTCTGCTTGGGGCATCCTCGTTGTTGGAGTGCTCAGGCTGCGGCTGCGGCAGCAAGGACGGCTGCTGGGGTGCTGGTCCTTCGCTAACAGCTGCAGGAGAACAGTCAAAAAAAAAAAAAAAAAAAAAAAGAGGGAATCAAAGGACTACTATTGATGTATTTTTTTAAGTTCCGTTTCCTACTTTTATGGTCATTTTCAACAGAAAGGACAGCATTAGGCTCCACCCTCCAAGAAGATGCAGGAAGTGTGTAAACAGTTCCATCAAAAATTGCTGGCAGATGGATTAAAAACTAGATGATCCTCAGAGTGGCTGTGTGCCATTTTGAAGCTCTGCACATCCTCCTTTTAAAAAAAAACCCAAAACACAAAAAACCCCCCAAGACCCCAATCATTATATTTTTATCTGCTTCTATTTCTGTGCTTTTAAATTTTAAAAATCAATAAACACATCAATACATCATGAGAAGAATGAAACAAGGTACAACTATGGAAACTCATTATGTTCAACATTGTGGTACTGTTCTAGTCATTGTGGAGAAAAGCTGGAGACAAAGAAAGGACTTAATTAATTTCCCCATAACCAATCACCAATATTGTTTTTTCTTGAGACAGCTGTAACATTTAGTGTGCCAAAGCAGTAGGTTGCTGTTTTATTAGCCTATATTCAATTCAGTTCTTCAGAGATTTAAATGTTCCATGTCAACTTGCTAATTCAAAAGGCAGCTTCCCTATGTTTGGCAGCACTTCTTAAAGGAAGTTTTCAGTCTTAACCTCTGTCATGGACTTCCCATGCTAGAAAACAGAAGCAAACAGCTGAAGTGTTAAGGAAAACAAAGGTTAAGACAAAGAGAAAAGCCCTTTATTTCTACTGCCCTCCAGAAACCCCTGTTGTACCCCAGCTATAAACTGCAGAGTGATTATGGCTGTATAGGAGTTTTCAGGATGTGTACAGCCTGCAGTGTTGTCTAACATCATCAACACTGTGAATGCAGAAAAAGGTGATTTGTGAACTGAGTTGCCTTGAAGCTGATCAGATGCAAAATGTTCTAATCATGTAGTTTAAAATCAGAGTATCTTCTATGGAGCGTGTGCATTGAAGACGATGTTATGTAGGAGGAGGGATAGAAGATGACGGCAAGAGGAGGGATGGGCACTCACATATCCTGATGGCATTGCCCCAGTTTACAGCATAGCTCTTCACCTAACACTGTCTCTTGGTCATGAAGAGAAACTCACTGCTGATGTTGACACCAGGAAACAAAACTGCACGACACTATTCAGACTTTAAGAAGTTTTTAAAAATAAACAAAGATATTAAAAGTAATTCCAAAGAAAACAGATTACTTTGTTCTTGTAAGCTAACTGTAATTGGAATAAACAAATCTTTAAAATATCTTCTTGACCACTATGCCTACCACGACCAGCTGAACTAGTCAAGAATTAATTACACAGAGGACTGATAAGTGTAAGTCTACTGTGGTGCTTTATGGATGGCAGCAAGAAGTTCATTTCCCCATGCCACTGGAAAGAGACTGCCACTTCTACTTTGTTCCTGCTGCAGGAGAAGAATAAATGAATTGAATTGGAAACACCATCTCTTATCTTCTTTTCCAAATCCTACATCATGAGTGCTGTTGAGGCCTCCCCAGAGCTCGGGTCTGTGGCCTCTCCTGGCCCCTCTCCCAGCTCCTGCCCCACTGCCCCAAGGAGCAGCCCTGGAGAAAGTTCTCCTTTTGATAAGAGTGGCCACAAGGCATGACATTATTTGCAAGTAGAACAGTGGAAGGAAGTAGAGTGGTTAGTGAAGAGCCTGATCACAACAGGAACGTATTTCATTTGAGCATGTTGGTGTTGTCCAGTGTCTCCTCAGTATCTGTGCCAGCCAGGGCGGCTCACAGCACAATGGCTAACCACACAGCTTGTGTCAGGAAGCAGAAATATAGGAAAAGCTCAACCTTTTACTGAAGAAAACAACCTTCCTGACATATAGATACCAGAATCAGTTACTATACTGGGACCCAAAATGCTCCAGAGGATCTGGTTTCATCCAAAGTCTGCTACAACAACCAGAACTCATTGTGCAAATAACATCCAGTTACACAGCCAAGTCAAATCTCAAGGCATTTTATAATAATTAATATCAAAGTATATAAGTAATTACAACCTACTAAGTGGCAAAACAATTTTGAAAAATGGAAATGAGGAGAAATCCACAGCCCCATTGCTCGTTCCTACGGCAATAACGCAGACCTCCCTGGCAAAATTGAACACCACAGACAGGGACCCAACTACAGGATCAGACCAATGTCAAAATCACCTATGATTTCTAAAAGTTTGCTCGTCTGTGGCTCATTTACCTTGTTTTCACCTTCAAGGCTCTTTGCTTTATCACGCCATTGCCCTAGCTCTGTTTTTCCATTTCCTTCCTTGTCTAGCAGACCCCTCTCTCTTCTTCTCCAAGGACTGAAATTCTCCTTAAGGAGGCCAGAGATACTGAGGTTATTTGTAAGAGGGTAGAGCAGGAATTATAGTTGATAGCTCTTTCCACCCTTACTCACTGCCCACACATTCAAGAAGGTGTCACAGCATGCTGGCTGCTCTAGGCCACCATGGACATTGGGCTCTTCTCTCCCTTCACCCTGTCCTAGTCAAGGAAGATGCTAAAGAATACGTGAGTCTCACAGAGGCACACAGCTGAGGTTACAATGCCATCTGGAGCAAATCCTTGGTGAGGTCTTCGCTTAATGTAAAAATAAAGCCTTTTGTCTACGCTCTTCGCTCCAAAATGTCTTTCAACATGTTTGTCAAAGTCTGAACTTCCTCTGGAACCCAATACTTTTCACTGTGTCCTTGGAAGGCTCTTGACCTGTTTGGATAAACAAGTAAACCAGACAATTGTCATCAAACACCTTGGTATTTTCTGCAGTGGTGCTCTCAGATAACAAAGCTTTATCAGCTAACATCAGCAAAACAGCCTCTGCATTAAAAGGCTATTAAATTACTGCTTTACTGTATGGGTATGTTTTATCTTAAAGATTTAGTTGTAAAATCTGGAGACCTACATAACCATTATTCCATTAAAGATTTCAGGTTATCCCCCAGCTATTACTGAAGAGAAAGGTGTGATGACTCTATTAAAATTAGAACCTAGACTTGAGATTTAAATACTGAAGGTAAGTGGTCTAATAAAGGTGTTTCATGCTTGAGAAGACTTTTTTCTGAAATAAGATGTGCATGTTTGCAAACATAATGAGAACCATCAATTTGTAATTCATGCAGGTCCCTGCAGGAGGAGAGGATGGAGTGTTTATTTGAGGGATGGATGAAGATGAGCACATCTCTACTGCTGCCTCCATCACCTACATCAATCCCCTGCCTAGCAGCCAAATATTTGCCCTCATACACATCAACAGAAGTGCCCAAGAATTCAGACTATTTCTACTGATCCAATTATTACCTTATATTTTTTACAGAAAGTAGACTCCCAATTGACCTTTAAGACGAAGCAGATAATACCAAGCTACATTCCAGTTGTGATCTTTCTCTCTTGAATTTAGTAAAATATTTTGCCAGACTAAAGAAAACATTATGCCATAAATGAAGATCTGTTCTAAAGCCCAGTAAAACTAATTAGGTTCTCATTGCTTTGGATAAACCTTGGATAAAGCCCTGCTTGCTTTCATTTTATATGTGAGGAACACTGAGTATAAGCTTGCTTTGAACTCCAGTAGCCACGGACACTGCTCACAAGCAGAAGAATTATCTAATACAAAGTCCTTTGGTGGTCCCTTAGCTTTTGCATAATTGTTGGTTGGTACAACATTGTTAAGCAGTTTAATGAATTTAGGTCTCTGAACATGTCTTTACATTGTATATATGCTATTTAAGAAGTAATACTGGAAATATTCCCACCTGGATTTGTAGCTATTGTCTCTGCCACAGTCTGAGTTAATGAAAAAGTCAATACGGATTGAAAACAAAAGATAGTAACAATTCAAAGTATGTGATGTGGATGGGGACTTAAAATAACTGAACTTTGTTCTATATCTGCTAATGACTTTCTGTATATTTTTGAACTTATACAGGTTGTAAATATCATGTGACCAAGACTATATACCTGTATAATGCTGACAAACCAGGGTCTGATTCCTGTTGGGATCTTTGGATGCCATTGTAGCACAAGCAGTAACATCTTTTTAACATGTTTATAGTCAGGCCACTACTCTCATGCAATTTTAGGTACATCCCAAGGAATACTTTTGAGGAATACTTTCAAAAAATTGCTAACCTAAAGCTGAATCCTGGGAAAATTGCAGAATCATTTTTAAATCATATGTGGCTAAATCCAAAGAGTTATGTACTGAAAAAAAAACAGAAGTGTTTTGCTGATGATTCAGTTTCTAGAGGAAAACAAAAGAAGTGAGGGGCTAAGCAGGACCTTACCCACAACTCCAGTACAGCTCTCATCCTACTTCTGTGAGATGTTGCAACCCCTGCTGAACTTAGACAGGACAGTTGAATAAAAATGACCATTTCCACTAAGTGCAGAATGCAGCTTCTGTGGTAGTAGGGACTTAAGCTTCCCAGGTGGATGAGCTCACTGCAGAGCTGACTGTTCACAGCCAGAAAGCCAGCTCCAAGAGGAAATGTGCTCAGGAAATATTTCCTTTAGTATGTCTCACTTTAACAGATTAACGTACATAAAGCTATCTCTATTCCATAATACTTTTCTATGGCTACTTCAAGCTATTAATATAATTGTTGTTTTATTGTTCTGGTTTAAACAATTTTAATCTTTTTAATACTAGAAATTAACATATCTTTATTTAAAAAAAACCCCACATATTTTCTGACCATCTCCAAGTTTTCATCATGTGGACTATTAGGGCAATACACTGATGAATGGCAGCCTCTAAAAATGGTGCTGTTAGGCCAGCTGTAGTCTTTAGGGTTAGTCTGAAGAAAAGTGCTCTGTCTCCTATAAAAGTGTGATCAGGGTTGGACCAGAACAGAGTCTGTTTATGCTGACCGGTCTGTGGATGGAGATGGGGCAGCATGAGGACAGGGTCTTCTTAGTACCTCCCAAGTGGGAGATGGTTTCCTCCAGCTTTCTCCTTTCCCTACTGGAGACCATGACAGCTCAGCATCTCCAATAGTTATGATGCAGGAAAAAAAAAAAAAAAGAGCATCTTCTTCCTTCATAGAATCATAGACTGGTTTGGGTTGAAACGGACCCTAAAGATCATCCAGTCCCAACCACACCCTGCCCCGGGCAGGGCCCCCTTCCCCCAGCCCAGGGGGCTCCCAGCCCCGTCCAACCTGGCCTTGAACCCTTCCAGGGAGGGGGCACCCACAGCTGCTCTGGGCACCCTGGGCCAGCGCCTCACCCCCCAAACAGGGAGGAATTTCTTCCTCATATCTGACCTAAATCTGCCCACTTTCAGTTTAAAGCATTACCCCTCATCTTATCACTACATGCCCTTCCATCTCTAACACATGGCAAACTAGGCATGTCACCATCTTTCCCTAGCTGTCTTGATCAAATTGTAAGCAGCGGGTGCAACAAAGCTCTGGAGGAGCCTGGAGGAGAAGGCAAGCTGTGGGAAGGATTGCTGACCAGACAACAGTCACTGTTATGGCTCAGAGATGTTTTCTGTCTGGAAAAAAATGATATTTAGCAATTGACTGGTAGCGTCATCAGTAGTAGTCAAACAGGCAAGACAACTTATTACTCAAGCTCTAGCTGGGCTTGACTCTCCACTCCATTTTTTTTTTGTTTCCTCTTCAATAGAATATTTGTCCTAAAGATAAGTTGCAGCCCTCAAATCTTTGGGTCAATGAAAAAGGCCTTCAGAAAGAGAAGAAAGTGTTCAAGCATTGCCTGTACGGCAGGATGCCAAGCAACACCCTCGCTAATGGCACAGCATATGATTTATTCAGGGATTGCTACATCTTGATCAATAGGGTGCTCGGTCATGCAGTACTGCAGGTAGGCTCTGTCTCAGAGGAATTATTGCTGGGTGTTTCTTTTTCAGATACAGCTACAATTGGTTGAGTATCAAGTGAATTTTTCACTGAGGAGTAAAACACACAAAAACGCTTCGCATATTGTCTCTACAGTCTCTTTAAACGCTAGCTGCTCTCAACCACAGGATCATGTTGAGAAGACAGCCAAAAAATAACCAAACTCAAAGCGTTGATCCATCCCCATTCTCTGCTGAAGCAAGGTGGTCGGTGGGGCAGTGGGAGGTGAGCTACAAACAAAGCAGCTGCTTTTCAGTTGGATGCACTGGGGATTGACCTCTCTTCCAGATGGGCTGATGTTGCCAGCATTGGCATCAACAGCACTGGTGCCGAGAAAAGCTTCAGGCATCGTATTAGAAATATACTTTTATATCCCTTCATCCCTCCTCAGACTGAGAAGTAATGAACACTGCCTTTATATAAACCTAGTGAACTGCTTGGCTGGTTCTGACAGTGTCAAGTGCCACTAGAAAACAAATGCTATTTCCAAGTCCTTGTCTGTGCCTTCGCTTCATTGCCGTGGTGGTAAAAATGTAAAGCACAGCACGGGAAGAGAATATTTCATTTGGAGGTATTTTGTATGATCTAGGAGCTTTGGAAGTCAACAGCCTTCGCCAGAGAGCACAACTGCAACAGCTATAACAGGTTGTCACTGCACACTGTAATGGGCTTAGATAATTTTCAAAATACCATACAGTCTTGATCATCCAGACCTCAATAATCTGAAATAGCCATTATGCAAACAAGGCTACATCCACTGCTTTTGAATTATTTAATGGGAAATTGCCCAAATCACCTGAAATCTTCACTGCTTGAGCTTTTTCAAGGCCCATCAGGTCTTCTGAATAATTAAAGATGGTTTGTATTCAAGCTTCTTGCAGAAAACTTCCGTGTATTAGCAATCTTCTGTTCAACTCTCAGGCATGCCACACTTAAAAGACTTGGGCAAACCTGTACCTTTCTATACAGACCTTCCCCTGGGAATTGCCATTGGATCCAACAGGATTTCAAAGGCATTCCTCTTTTAGAAAATCTCATCATCCAGACTACTGCATGTGTAAATCTAGTGACTGGTTCAGGCAGGAGCTGAATGCACCAGGGATGTGTGATTTTGGGGGTTGTGCATAACGTATCCCTCAGCTATCATGTCCCAGCTAGCACTTTGTATAGTATTTACCAGCTGAGCTGCCCGCATCCCTGAGGCATCTGAAGAACTGGGGAAACCTTCCTCACTTTCACAGCTGGACTTTGGATCTGAGGACTGAAGATGCTCAGGTCCTTTATGAGCAGGTCCAGATGATGACATCTGAGCAAACAATTCAGTTTTTATTTTTTTTCTCTTCCATTTCCATGATCAGGCACAGGATAGGTAATTTTTGCTTTTATTCCCCAACATCTAGTCAAGCAAGAGACTGAATCTACTCTGTTCCTGTGCATTGCATTTGTGGTGGGTTTGGTGTTAATTTAAGCAGCAGATCAAAATCTGATTATGCAAGCAAGGCCCTCCAGAGGAAATTACCATCTAGCTTTGAAAGGAACTCAGCAACCACACTGAAGAGAGGGGAAATGGCATTAGAAGGATGACTAGGACACCTGAACCCACCTTTTACCTATAATCCCACCAATGGATTTCAATCACTGGTCCCCAAGGACCTGTCTGAACTGACTGAAAGCAACAGTCAAATAGGAGGAAAAAAATCAGTCATTTCAAGATGAGTTCCCTGTGGACGAGCAGCACAGACTCTCTGTGATGTGAAAAAAATAGGTGTAACAGATTGACATTAATCTGTCAATAAATCAGACTTGATATGCAGTAGAGTTAAGGGAGAATGATATGAAAATATGAGCCCTCCAACTATAATTAATATGCCAGAGCATGCTCGTCAGGCTTGAACAAAGAACAGATGGCTGCTGGCGCGGCAGAGGCTTACAAGTAAGTTGTGAAGGTGAGGCTGGGGGCTCGTGCTGCGTGCGTGCGCTTTCCCCGGATTGTGGTAAGGTGAAGAATAGTTATGGGAACACACAAACCACAAATCTATTACTGCAGAGGAGCAAGTATGAACAGAGAGCTCACCCTAGAGAAGAGATGAGTGGTGTGAGGAGGGATAACAGTATTCACATGTATAAAAGGATCTGCAAGAGGAAGAAAATAAACTGTTCTCTGTGCCTGCTATAATGGAATCAAGAGACAATTGGCTTAAATTTTAGCAAGTTAGCTATTAAAGGAAATGTGTCTAGCAGTGAGGGCAGCTAAGCCTGGGAAGACACTGTGTGGAAAGGTCGTGTAAGTGCTATCACGGATGATTTTAATGAGTGATGATACTAGAATCTGCCTGAAGAAGAGCTCTCGAAGCCTGCATTTTTTCTGGGAAGATCCTTATGAATAAAGCAAAGGAAATTAAAGTACAGTGAAATGACTGACAGACCTGCAGAAAAGACAGGGTTGGATATGAGATGCAGTGACTTCTGAGTTTTAAGGTGTACGGTACCTATTGGAAATTGCAACTGGAGCTGCTGCTGGAGAAGAGACAGCCCACAGCCAGTTGCTGTTACCAGACTGGACTTACCCTCTCTCCCAAAAACCACGGCAGCATGATTTGCATTGGCTAGAGTTTATACATCCAAGTGATAGAAAACAACTAACTTCCCAAGCACTTTAATAGCAAAGAGATGAAGGAAAGCACTGTACTGACTTCTTCCTGCTCCAAAGGTCCTGTCCACAGAGAGGGTCGGGAACGGCACCGGCCGGAGGGTGAACTGCGGGTGCGGGTATCCGCAGGTCGGGGACGGCAGGATCCCAGGGTACTGGGCACTTTCTAGTGTTGGCACTGGAATGGCACTGACCACAGCTAAAAGGAGAGAAGGAGAGAGACATTAAATGAGCCCTTTCAGAAAATTAAAGAAACAAAAGTCCTTAGGAGGGTCAGTAGGGAACCAGAAACAGCCACACTTCCAATGCAAAGTACCCAAGTGTTCAGTGTAAAACATGCCTCTGCCCACAGAGGCCACGTCTGCATACAGAAATACTCCTCTTTGGTACACATTGGCTAACTCTAAGTGCAGTCTGCAATTACTTATCTGTAAAATCAAACAGCTTTTTGTCTGCATTCCAGCTATTCAGCCACATTTCGGGGGCTGCCTTATATCCCCTAACAAATAAGCAAGAAGGAATGTCTCAGGCAATTTAAGGGCTTGTTTCAGCTGTCTAAGCACAGGTCCCTGGTGACATTTCTGATGCCTTAGGACAGCCTTCTGCCCTCAAGCACCGCTCTGGGGGAGCGCGGGCTCCTGCAACTCTTCCATCACGTCTGCCAGCTTCACACCAATGACCCTGACACCCTCATATGTCCCCAGTGGCACAGGACCCCCATGTTTACCCATTGGCCAAGGCTGTCTGGGCATCCTTCCCCACTCAGGAATGTCCAAGCCTGTAAGGAACAGCGGTGAGATGTGCCAGCAAACCAGTAGCTAAAAGTCTGAAGTTGAAGTTGAGTTCTTGAGTTGAATTTAAGTGAAATGCTTTGATTCGAAAACCAGTACCACAGCATGAGGAATTCAGGCGTTCCTGTGAGTTATCTCTTTTATTTTCAACAGTCAGTGCTTGAAGAGTGAGTGATAATAATGCTGTACAAATAATAAACTTCTCTGTAGCTTTCAGGAAAAACCTGGAAACTCTCATTAAAGTTTTGCCCAGCTAAACAATAAGCAGAAATTTGTGGCTCATTGATGATAAGGTTTGGCTTATCTAGCACATTTCATACACGAATTATAAACAATGCTGTAAACTTTAAGATAGTCATTACAATTATTTCTAGCCCCTGCTACATCCACTACACACAGTGGTGAATTGGGCTACCTGCCCAAGGTCACAGAAGAAGCCGTGGTTTTACGAGGGTCTTGTTAAGCACACGGCTTTCAGCGAGACAACGCTGAACTTCCAGAGGTAACAGACAAGTTGGGGGGATGAAGAAAACTCATGAATAAATGCTAACCTGGGTGATCTGAGCTTTAGAGTTGCCTGGTTTCAGTTCACCCACTCTTAGAAGAGAATTTCTACTCTTCAGACATTTCACTTTCTCTGTATAGGACATTTTTATTGACAATATTTATAACATTGCTGCCACGGTGAAAAAATATCACTCTTTATTGAATCCTGTTAAAGAACAACTTGTTTTTCAAATTCTATTCCTTCATTTCTTTTTAGGGTATAGATACCCAGCACGTTCATTTTTAAAATAAAACAGGATTACTATTCATTGCAGTATGCTATTGTAAAGAAGCCAGAGAAAAGGTAACATCAAACATTTTCAACAAATCTCTGCAATTTCAAGCAGATATGACAACAAATCTGTTCTGTCATAGCCTGTCAGCAATTGAATTTGCACTTAATATTGATATACTAAGACACTGAAAACAGAAATTCCCTGACCGAGTCATGGAGCTCCCTAAACACTGGTCTACATTTAAAATGTACCATATCATGGAAAAAAAAGCAGCACCCAAGAACAGCTTACAGAAATGACAAAGTAAGACAGTTTGAATTGTGTTCAAGAACCCCAGACACTACCAAAGCAACTCAGTCGACATATTCATATTACCCTGAAAAAAAAATTGTGATTTTTCTGCCATTTTAAGGAGGGAGATAAAGAGAAAAAATCTCCCCACAAAATCTAGCAGAAATCTCTCTCCAAACTAATTTACTCTGTGAGCATTTTTTTTTTTTTTCGGTAAGTAAAGACTGCAAATAGAAAACAGGGAATTACAGGTACGATACTTGAATGTGATACACTGCAAAGACTATCTCAATTATTTTTCTCTGTAAATACTCCTCTCCATACAATATCCTTGGTATCTGTGACTGCCTGTATTTCAGCAGCATTAGCGCTATCAAAGATATCACTAAAATCTTATCAAATTTATCTGGTTTATGCTCCTTTCACTTCAGTAAGCAAAGGTGTATAATGGAGTATATTTGTTCTCAAAGACTGAAAATACTGATTATTGAGATGAGCATGAATACTTCCAGATTTGGTATTTAACAATTAATAGTGTGTTTTTTACTTCAGAATTACAATGTTGCTTCTTCAATCTGTTTAATCACTCACTGCTGACAATTTCTTTCAGTATCAGGCAAACGGAAAGAAATTAATTGAAGTATCCAATCTGACAAAGCCTCAATTTTATCTTCAAGGAAAAAAAAACATATTCAACATAACTCAGCCTGCACAAATGCATAAATAAGACTTTTATAAATCTGTGTTTAATTATTTGCAAACAATCATAATATGCTGTTTCTGTAGATTAGATTGATACTGTTGAAAATATAAATAAATTGAAAAGAGGACATCATTCCCCAAAATGCATCATTTGGCTGAAAAAACTAGATATGTTTAAGAACATTTTTATATATAAGCTGTAGAACAATGATGACTTTACTTTTACTTAACTAATGCTGCTATTGACTTATTTTAATTACAATTGATTTGGTTCTGATTTTGCTTACACCACTCCAAGTCTATCCTTTTTCGTGGACTGCTGCCCTGCTTTAACGCAGGACAAGCCGGAAGAAATCCCACTGAAAAAAAGGGCAAATTGCCTGATTGTGAGATTAATGTGGTTACAAGATGGGAATATTTCCCAGGACATGGCCAGGTGATGTAAAATCTTTCTCTGCCTCAACTCAGGGCTCTTTCTTCCAGGTGAAAAAGAGGGTGAAGGTTGACATGTGGTGATATGACCAGTCCAGAGTGTGAAGAAATGGAATTTTGTCTCTCCCTGGGCACCTCTGGTTTATCCTTGTAAGACCTGGGTGCTGAGGCTGAGCAACATGACCCTAATTGCACCCACAATGAACACACATTAAGGGAACCAATACCAGCTCCTACTAAGCAATTTACTGAACAAAGCCATACTAGGTTATTCCCTCTCCTCTCCTTCATTCAGTTCCTTCTATTTTTTTTTTTTAATATAACATTTGTGATGTGCCCTTCCACAGACCTACAAATAGGCACTTATATTTAACCCATCAGAGCTAGAAAGAAATTTTGTGATGAAATGGATTTCTGACAGAATGTGTTCATTCTTCTTAGCTCAGACTATTTACACAGATATACCAATTCCCACAATTTTTTGATTGGATCTATTTTATGAGGTCAAAGGTAGAACTTTTAGCTAAAAGCTGAGAGCTACCAAGAGACTGATCACAGGGCTGCTCCGAGGAAGGGTGAAGACCCAAAGCCTCATCCTCCACTGGGAACTTGATCAGTGCCAAACCCTCCCTCTGGTGCCTGTAGCCTCTCAATTATCCCTTTCCTTTGCTCCGATGTGAAACAAGGTCACTTCAGAAATTTTTCTAAGTTCTGAAGGATGGGAGAACCTATATAATGCTCTCCAGCCTTCCTGTCTTTCTTGTGTACTTTGCTGCTTTGAAAAAGATTCACTTCAACTATGAAATTTGTTCAGTGGTAAATGGTCTGTGGTTAGTAAAATTTAACACCTATTAAAAATACCTTTTCTCCTCATTTCTTTGGCTTTATAAGAGAGCTGCTCCATATTAAAAAAGTATATAGTGGTGTGGCCAACTATGATAGGCAAAACTGCAATAATGTCCAGTTGATTGTAATTATTGGTAATAATAATATCACAATTTACATCTGTGTATTGTGAAGCCTTTTGCTCTGGCAGCTTGAACTCTTACCCCTGCATTTAAAGTTTTATAGGAGGGAGACAGAGGGATTTATCCATCACTATCCACCTGGTAAAAATAGAAATGATGACTTAGGCTTAGCCTGGGCTGAGTCTAGCACAAGTATGATTTCTGAATTCTCTCCACAGTTTTTCCACCGAGGCATTGTAGAGCCCTGGCAAGCTTCCAGAGTGTTTTTTTTTTTTTTTTTAGATGAAGAAAAAATTTCCAATGCTATTTAACTTTATGAGGCATAACTAGACCATATTTGAAAGATTGTATGAGATCTTCAGATGAGTGAGCATGGTTTGCGTGGTGCAGAAGGGGGCTGGCATTAAGGTCCTGGTACTCACGAGGGTTGTTTGGTTGTGAATCCATGGGGATCATGAGCTTGGCACGGGTGGCTCTGCGGGCAGCAAGCGAGCGCTCTAATGTGGACATGCTGCTTCCAACATCTTCTGTCTCGGGGCCTAGAGAAAAACAACACAGTAGTTTAGTTGAAAATGTTCTAAAGTGAATCATAGACTCATAGACTGGTTTGGGTTGAAACAGACCCTAAAGATCATCCAGTCCCAACCACCCCCCTGCCCCGGGCAGGGCCCCCTTCCCCCAGCCCAGGGGGCTCCCAGCCCCGTCCAACCTGGCCTTGAACCCTTCCAGGGAGGGGGCACCCACAGCTGCTCTGGGCACCCTGGGCCAGCGCCTCGCCCCCCAAACAGGGAGGAATTGCTGCCTTAAATCTAACCTGAATTTCCCCTCTTTCAGCTAAAAACCATGACCCCTCATCCTACCCCCACCCCTGACCCAGAGTCCCCCCCCACCTCTCCTGCCCCCCCTTTAAGCCCTGGGAGGCCGCTCGAAGGTCCCCCCGGAGCCTTCTCTTCTCCAGGCTGAACCCCCCCAACTCTCTCAGCCCGGCCCCCCAGGGGAGCTGCTCCAGCCCCCTGATCTCTTCGCCTTATATCTAGTAAAAAGACAAATAGGCTTTTTAGGATTCAGTTATTTTAGCTGATCATTAAATATCTCCACCTGTAAAGAGCTGCACAGAGTCTTTTGGCTGCCTTTTCTGAATAAACTTATTTGCATTTTTCTGTAAGTGAATTAAAATATCGCATCTCATTTTTCTTTGTCTCTGGAATTATCTTGAAAACACCATTCACTTCATAAACACATGACATTTTCCTTGTAACTTCCCTGTTATAAACTTATTTTTAAAAATTAAGTATCAAGACCAGAAAAAAGGCTGCATAAATGCAGGTACCTACAAATCCTGACAGCCAAAATTTCGTCTTCTGAAATACGTCTGAAGGGTGAAAACGACCTTTCTTGTGAGATGCCACAAAGTCCTAAATCCTGACTGTCCAGATTACAGACCCAGTAATTCACGGTGGCTCATCCAGCCTGTGCCTCTTGTTTTTAACATAGAAACCATGACAAGTTAAGATGTGCCTGGATCTTCCTCTTATCTCATCCTAGATCACAACTAGCACATCTACCTAGATCAGAGCACTCTGATCACCACCTAATGTCCAATCCAATTCAAAACTGTCTCAGCAGCTATATATATTAGACTCTCTGTTTTGATAGTGAAATACGGATGCTCTAATGTAGTTAGTTACATTAGTATAGGATACTTGAAGTATTCAAAGATTCTAGAGAATACACTAGTCAGAAAGAAAATGTGCTTGGAACTATATGTTTGGTGGAGTGAATTGCAGTGAAATAAAAGCTGTATTTTTGTTTTCATACCTTGTCTCACATGAACCTTATATTTATGTTACTTTTGCTATTTTAACAAAACATGGATGAAATTAGTTTAATACTGCCATACACATAAGCTTAATACCACTCAGACTATTCATCTCAGATGTGCCCAGGCAAACACATATTCCTTAAAAAAGAAACAAACAAACAAACAAACAAACAAACAAGCAAACAAACAAACAAACAAACAAACAAAAAGAAAAAAAAACATGAAAAGACTATTTTTGTCCCAAATCACTCTTCTCAGAATTGCAGGGCTAAAACTCCATGTCTTCTATCGATGGCCATTCAGAGACCTAATTGCTAGTGAAAAGCCACGGACAGTATTACTGAACTGTGTATTACAGAATGGGAAGAAACATAAAGGCATTTATTTATGGTCCAAGGTGTTTACACATAAAATATCTAGCCCAGCCTTTGTCATTAACTTGCTCATATGCTGTGATGACTTCCTACCACGCACTCGGCTGCAAGACTATTGCGATCAATGGAGCTCTCACATTGATCTTTCCGGGCCCTGGATCAGCATTCCTGATCATCAGCAATATCTGTTTAGGGGGAAACTTCTGGTTCTGTTTTCCCGATGTCTAATAATGAGGACTTTTGCATTAAAACCAACAGAAATCATTGTCACAATTATCTTCTAAATAGTAAACTATCAGCCCAAAACACGATGTCAGAAAAAGAAAATTAGATTCATTTAGAAATTTGAAAACTGCTCCTTTTTAACTTTTCTTTCCCTGCAAGAAGCGGAGCTATGGAAAAGGGATAAAAACAGCAGAAGCATCTGAAAAAGTCACCTTCATTATTTACAGCCCCAACTGAAATTCTGGAGTTATTTCACTCTGTCACCCACAAGCAATGTGTTCATGATGAACCCAAGAAAAATATGTTTATGTTTTCAAATTCCATTCTGTGTTTTGCCCTCCATCCCCCTCTGTACACGCCACCTGCCTTTCCCAAGACTTTCTATCATTGTGGTGGAAAAAATGTTATCAGCTAACGTGAAACCTGTGATGTGCTGTGTGCAGTAAAGTTAAAAAAAAGAGGAGGAATCTTCACTGAAGCCACATTTTTCTTACAGAATTTCTTCCCTCATATCTGTAAGTTTTCTCAGTCTTCCTGGCCCAAATTCTGCTCCTGGTGATGCTGCTGACCTTCCCCCTAATCGTGTTCTCCCTCTGCTCCATTTTTCATCTCTTTTTTTTCCTCACTTACTTCTCTATGCCCCCTTTTCCTCTGTTTTTTCTTAGCACAGTATGCAAATTCAGTAACATTTGACTTCCATTTGAATGCCTGAACTTAAAAAATTAGAATGGTTTAAAAATCAAAAATGATGGGGTTTCCTCTAGCCTGAAACTACCGCAAAAAATCATCTAGGAACATCTCTCCCATCACCCCCAGCAGAGCTGCCAATTCTTCCTGGATCTTGCCAGGTTTCATCCTCTGCTAGGGACCTCATGTGCTGGGCTAAAGTCACTAACCACCAAATAAATAGCAAATTAATTTATAGAAAATTTATATGCTGGTGATGTAGGAAAAAAAATTGGAGTATATGCAATGGGGTTGGACTAGATGGACATTCAAGGTCCCTTCCAACCCAAAGCATTCTATGATTCTAATTTCCCCAAATCTACAAGCAAAACCCAGCCGATTTCTGTCCCAGCTGCCCTGGGAGCCCCTCACCAGGCTGCGGGGTGCTCTTGTTGCCCAGCTGCGTTTCCGACTGGCTGTGGCTGACAGGGGTGATGTCCTGGCAGCTCTGCATCGGTGAGTCCCTTCCCACGGGGTCCGAGCCCGTTGGCTTCTCGATGTTCTTCATCTCCATCTCCTCATGGTGTATCCACAGATCTGGGGGTCTCAGGTCCTTCTGGCTGCCCTTCCTTTTACTAGCGCTGTGGGTTGCACGTTTCCTGGAACAAAGAAACATCAAAACTGTCACATAAGAACCTTTTTCCCCTTCACAAGATGAAGGGTGATGTCTCCTCATTTGGTGTCTTTCTAAGGAACCCCTCTGGTTGTGTCCTTCCAAGGGCAGCAGTTACTTTGATGTGGCCCTGTGCTTCCCGGAGTTTGCTCCAGGGGATGGGCCTGGGGCTTATCAGGGTGGGTCACTTTTTGCACCAGTTGATGTAGAAACTGGGGAAAACCACTCTTCCCGGAGCAGATGAAGAGTGGCCAGTTTCATCTTGGGAAGAGCAGCACCTATGGAGTGACTGGATCTAAACCCAACAACCGATAACTTCTGAGCCCGCTTCTTCCGAGTTATGCACACCTTATACCTTCCGTAACTGCGTGCAGCATACGTTGTATTTCTTTAAAGAGACACTAAAGCAGTATTTTTATTGTAGAAAAGCTCAGAAATCCAGAGCAGCATTTCCCAGAGCAACATTAACTCTCCTCTCTTAATGTACAGGTATTACAATATGCTGTCATGTCAGTGGGCCACCTCCCCCAGGGAGGACACCATGTCATGAGGGGGTGGCCCTGCTCTACTGCTCTCAGACTTTCACCTTCCCTCAACTACACAGGCGATTTATGACAAAGTACTCATGTTTTTCTATTGTAAAGAAAAAATATGGTCCTTAAATATGGAGCAGAACGTCTAATTTACAGCTGTAGAGAAAGTCTTTCCAGAAATCTATTGATTTAAATATCTCTGAAAGAACAGTTTTTCTGTCTTACTGTTAGAGGATTTGCTCAATATTTCAAAAGTACTTTTACCCCTGTTTTTTTCCTTTGTACACCTCAAAGTGTTTTGTGAAAAGAAAGTAACAGTATGGCCCCAAGTGGAAAACTAGATGTACCTGTGATATACAAAAAGCTGCAGGCAAATATTTTCAAATTCATGCACACTTTTTGGTAACAAAATAACATGCTCTTGATTTCCAGGGGCCCTGAGTGCTCTCGGCTTCTCATTACCCCTGTGATCTGCTCACCCCAAAACACAGCTGTGCACCTCCTGAAGGGAAGGCTCCTTCCCGAGTCCTCAGAAAACATTTCGCTGGCATCCCTTGACTCACACTGTGCACATCGTTTGTGTAGGTGCTCTCATATAACCACCCTTCCTATCACACGCTGCAGGCAGTATTGTGGCTATTTTATCAGAGAAAAGCTTGAGGAAATTTTAAATTTAAGAAACTCCAACTGTTTGAATCAATTTTTTGTTCTTTGCTAAATTTTCTCAGCCTGGTCTAGAAAGCAAGAGATGTGTGTTACAAATATGTGCATTGACAAACATTTTGCTTTCAAGAGAAGGAACAAACACATCCAATAATTTAAAATGTCACCAAGGGCACGGCCCTGCCTCATCCCCAGAAACTGATGGCAATGACATTTTACTTCAGCAGAACTATCCCAATTCTCAGGTTGTTACCCTTAAAGTCAGAAATTGTTTTAAGTCCTTTCAATTGTTGGTACCCCAAAAGCACTTCAAAGGGTCAAAAGATTAAATTAAAAATGTGATCTGGAAAGTTAGTGGTGGAGGGGAGGCTGGGGTTGTTCAGAGATTTTTGTTTATAGCCCAGAAGAAATAAGCCTGTTGGCTTCTGGCCATAATTACTTCCTATGTTTAGTCTGTTACTTGCTAATAGCCAAAACTTAATAGTTTAAAATTACAGTATTTCAAAGAACAGGTATAAAGAACATGGAATAAAGACAGTTCTTTAATACCTTCTCGCACAGACCCTAGTACCATCCTGATTAGTGCCTACAACAATAATTACGAGCACTTTCATTCAAACCTGAATGTATGACCCACTTGAAGTTAAAAAGTAAGTGTTTCTTCTGTCTCATTCAAAAAAAAGACCATAATTTTGGTTCTAAACAAGGAATTACTTTTTTTCACTTTGGGATACAGAGCTTTTTTGTCACTTTCAATTGAAATGAATTCATTTCTCCAGGCTTGAGCTAGGCAAGAGAAATTTCAGCCCCAAAGTAATTTTCTACACAACTCAAAATAGGGGGTTATAATGAATGTGTCATTCCAACCATAACTACAAAACCGCTACAGCAATGATATCATTTAAAAATATATGCAATGATCTAGCCTGGTTTGCATTGTTTTTTCTCACAAATTATTGATGTTCTGACAGACTGTGAGTAGCAAATTGAATCAGAGCCAGGAATGCATATGAAAAGGTCATCAATAACAAATGAAAATAAATCCTCCCCCCGAATGTGTTGTTTATGCAATGCAGAAGTTGTGGTTCAGCTTCTGAAAATGCATCTACCCTCAATTTCAGGGGGAGGCAGGATTTTGCTGCACCAGACAAGCACATTATATCTATAGAAGACAGTCATAAAAGCTTCAACATCAGCGTCAAACCTCAGCTGCAGCAATGGAAACTGATGCTTTGGAAGGTCATGTTTTGATTTACAGTGGGATTCAAATTAAATCCATTACCCACCTTATAACTGGAGCAGGTATTGGGAAGACAAGGAAGTTGGAATTGAAAAACTGATCTGAGATGGCAGCATTTCTGTTGTTCAATTATTTTACAACATCAAATGCATCCAGCTTGCATACTGTAATGATTTTTTTTTTTCCTAAGAATGGGTTTAAAAACAGAGTTCAACTATGCCCTTAAAATATATATTATGGTCATGTAATCTTGAAAAATGATAGCAGAACTTAGGCTGTACTTGCAAAATAAATAAACTCTCTGGAGAGGAAACTGTTTCTCCTTGTCTGTTTCTATAGTTTCCAGCACAACACCACCTGGGCAGTGACTCCAGCCATTATACAGAACATCCATATAGCTTCTAACAATATACATATGCTACATAAGATAATTTTTCAAATACTCCAGAGTGAGATTACTCTTCATTGCCTTCATTTTACAGTTACATTACCCCAGAGAAAACACTTAAGGTTATAACAACTCAGCCTACTTTATTTTTTTTAACACCAATTGAAGATGTCTCTATCTAAAGATCTCAAAAATAAACTGTTCTCCTGGGCAAAACAAGTTTTTGCTTGTAAAAAAAACATGGGTAACCATCCAGTCCTGATGTGATTGGATATATTTTCTCATGGAGCACGGACAGCTTTGGAGGCAGGACACAGAAGCAACAGCCCCATAAGCTGTAACCACCTCCTGCACGAACCCCAAACCTCCTGCACTGCTGTTTGCAATGTACTGCGGAGATATTCAGCAATAATGCGAACATTAGTTCATCTTAATTATCCTTCCAATGCATGAGTTAATACTTTATGTTTTCTGCTCTTTACTCTGTCTTGGTTTTGGCTGGGGTAGAGTTAAGTTTTCTTCTCAGTAGGTGGAATAGCGCCGTGCTTTGGATTCCCCGTGGGATTTGGGGTGAGCAGAACGCTGGTAACACGCTGATGGTTTCAGCTGTTGCTGCGAGACCGAGGGCTCTCCACCTCCCCGTGTCCTGCCCGTGCGCGGGTGCACAAGGAGCTGGGAGGGAGCACGGCCAGAGCACCGGCCCCAAACTGGGCACTGGGGTGTTCCACACCGTGTAACGTCGTGCTCAGTATAGAAAGGAGGGGCGGCTGGGAAGGGGGGGTTCTCTCTCGCTGCTGGGATGGCGACGGCGGGATCTTGGTATTTCGGGATGGCTGGCCGGGGTCGGGCTGGGTGTCGGTCGGCGGGTGGTGAGCGATCGCGTCGTGCACTGCCCGCCTGGACTGTCTGCTGTTGGCATTGGTTTATTCCAGTTCAATTATTGAACTGGTTTTATCTCGACCTACGAGTCTCCCTTTACCCCTCCAGCTCCCTCCTCCACCCCCGGGCAGGGGAGGGCAGGCGAGCGGCTGCGTGGGGTTGGGTTGCTGGCTGGGTTCAAAGCATGACATACTCTTAACCTGGAAAAAATGTGCAGTTTGCATTTTGGGCTGTATTAAAGGAAATTAAACTGGTATAGAGGTCCTCTACAAAAAAAAAAAAAAAAAAAAAAAGAAAAAACAACCAACCAAACAAAAACCAAACCAACCAACCAACCAACCAACCAAAAACAAACAAAAAACAAAACCCCCAAAACAAAGAAAAAACTCCTATTATTTCTCCAGAAAATCTCCTCTAGTGTTTACAGATGGAAAATTATTTCATTTTGGCCTCTTCATGTCTTGCCAATCATCCTGAAAAGCTGAAACCAGTACCTGTCTCTCCCATCACCTGGCTTCATGGTCTCCCTTCTTCCTCATGATAAGAACCAGGCTCACACCACCGTGCAGGAGATGAGGCAGAGGCCACAGCTAACAAACCACCCCAGCACAGAGGACACACCAAAAACCAGGAGCATCTCCAGGGAACACAGCAGCGAAGTATGAAGGCTCTTTAGTGGGTCCCAACTCATTCCCCATTAGTTTGATTATGTTTTGGTTAATGCCTCCCCCGAGCCTTCCCATATGTATACTGACACATCCCTCTTACTTATACAGGACTTAAACTAATCTTAGCTAAATTTTTGCAGCCTCTTGTTACACCGCTCCCCCACCCAGCACACTAATTGATTGGGCACTTGTTCAAGACCAGGCTTCTTTTTTAATGGTTTAAATATGCACTACTTAACTACCAGGCTCAGACTAGATGTCCACCCTCACCTTTTCTCCTGTGGTGGTCATAACTCTGTGTTACCAGTCCACAAACTAACTGTTCTGGCATGTTACAAATTTTTGTTTTGACTTGAAGCCTTAAAAAAAATTAATGGCACAGGCAGGTCCTGCAGTTCGTGTGTATGCTGTACAAAGTGATATTTCCCCTTCTTTTAAGATTCAGCTGGGTTTCATCTTCTCTAAACTTAAGCTCTGAACTGACCTGCCTGGACCAGGAGTGCACTGAAGGACTGAGCTGTAGTGGGTGGCCCCATTGCCCATCCTCCCCCCCACCACATCAGCAGACACTGCCATCACAGGGCGTGAGCATCCCATGCTGTGAAAGATGTAATTACAGTGAGAGTATGAATCTCAATTACTGCAGGAGCCATACGTTCCCCTTGTGCCCAGCTGAGTAAGTTATTGCACCTGCATCTTTACGCACGTTTTTCTCCCCTATTTTTTACTGGCGCCAAATTGTCACAGGGTTTGTACAGCTGATATGTCATTCTTCCCTAGATGCCAGAGACAGAAAACACCTACTAAGCCACCTAGGTCAGTACCAGGTTGTTCTATATAATATGCTTTATTGTGCTTTGTTCAGCCAAGTTTTAATTAACTTAAGAAATATGACTTTCCTCCACTGAAGGCTTACAGGAGATTATTCCATCACCTGCAATTTTTTGCTCTGGGGAAGGACACATGCATTATCCAACGAGACTTGGCCTTTACCCCTACTGCAGTCCTTTTGTTCAGTAGTTCATTGGTGATTTTAAACTAAGAACCAGCTGCCAGTAGAAGCCTGAATCTAAACTCTGTGTCACAGTGTGCATCTCTCCAGGCAGGTCAGAAACAAAGTCACTCCCACCAACAAACTGCGTTTTGAGGAAATTCAGGATTTTTCCTGTTGGGCTAAATTTAAGATCAATTGTTTAATTTTTATTGCCCTATTTTTTCCCTACTTTCAGTGCAGAAACAGTTTGCCTGGGACAACTTGTGTGAGATTCACCTGCTCATAGTATAGATATTTAGAATTTAAACAGCAAAACCAAATCTACCAGCTTCACATTTTTTAATCAAAGGACAGCAATAAGCATCTTCAAATGGAAAATATCCTGATGTCTTAGGACAAAATGAACAATTCTTTGAATGTTTCTGTTTTTCCCCAGGGGCTACAGAGGAGGTAAAGGTTGATTAACTCAGACTTGGATATTTAATTTTTGACACCTAATTCTGGATAGATTAATCTCTCTGTTTGTCTCTTTCTCTTGTGATTCCCTTTCCCTGTTAGAAACTCAAGAGAGCTTAGCCTTGATTCACCAAACTCTACTCACCAGAATTTTCATTGCCTTCAGATGATGGTCTGAATTTCAGGTGCTACAACTAACTATGAAGCAGATTTTCAAACCATCGTTCAACAACCTCAGCACTCTTAAAAACACAGACCCTTACTTTTTTGACTAAATGAGAGCTTTCTTATTTAAAAAATCTACCCCTAAATATCCATCTTCAGCGAAAGCACTTGCCCTGGTGACTCTAAAACACTACACGTTGCCATCTGCCCATGCTTGACCCGCCCCAAGCTGATTTCAGCAAATGTGGGAGCTGTTCAGTTTCCTGACCATCCCTTCTGTCATCTTGCCACCCTTTTTTAAAACCACCAGTGCAAATCAATGTAATAACATCTGGCCCATGAAAACATTTTTCATTCTTGTGGGCAAACTATGATTAAACTTCACTTTCCAATGTCCAGTCTTTCATAATAGTATAATGATACAATGAATTAGTAATAAAATAATAATATAATAATTTTCAATGCATTAAATGCATAAAACCCAGCTCTGTTTCAAGCTCATTGATTCCATTTCTAATTTCTCATAAAAACTGAAAAAAGCTTTGGGCTTTACACTGTCGCCCTTTTATAGCCTTTCAGAAGAATCCTAAAGATTTTTTCCCCATAATTTTCTACAGACTGGTTTGTTTTGAGATTTTTTTCCCCATAATTTTCCATAGACTGTTTTTTTTGTTGTTGTTGTTTGGTTGTTTGTTTTGTTTTGTTTTTGGTTGGTTGGTTGGTTGGTTTTGTTTGTTTGTTTGTTTGTTTTTCAAGCATATGAGAAGTATCCAGAGAAACAGTTCTGGATGCTTTTTATAGGAAGACTTTCAGAGACAGATTGTCTGGAGAGCATATCATCTTCCCAAAGGTTGGGAAGTGAGCATGACTCTCTGTGTTTCTCAGCTGTGTAGGTGCAGGGATGCAGAGTCAGAAAGTCTGACAGCATCACTAGGCACAAACAACTACTATTTTTTTTCTTTTAAATCAATGGAAATGATTCTTTCCTGTGTCTGAATGATACTTGGCAATATGAACAACAGAGAGTTTTGCACTGAAGACTTATTTTTCAAGGGTTGCCATATCAGGGCTACTTGTACCCTCCATGGTTTTCTCTGCAGCTGGAGGGGCGAGGGATATTCTCCACTCACCAGCAATGAGTGACACCTCCAAAAACAAAAGATAGAGCCCCAAAATGCAGCTCAGTCCCAGAACTCGCGTCCCAGATCTATTTTGAAGCTGAGCACCACTGCCTTTTCCTTCTACCCCGCGATTTGAGAACGTACTTCCTCTGCTGCGCCGAGGAGCGCCTGGTGCAGATGACGGCCACCACCACCACCACCACCACGGTGATGACGCCGACGGTGACGACGATGATGACGAGGAGGTTGCTGTTCTTCTGGGGCGTGACACTGCCGTGGGGAGGGTGCATCTGCCCGATGGGGGGCTCTGAAAGAAGAGAGAAAACGAGGGGATGGTTAGTGCTGGATTTGCTCCTCGCCCGCTTTAGGAGTCACCCATAAAATAAAGCACATAAAGCCTGTCAGGTGGAATGAATTCCTCTGGAAAAGCAGACGGAGGGTGCAGAAGGGTGCCATAAAGAGCTGAAATTTATGTCTCGCTGCATTTGAGTGGTATAGCAAACAGGAAAATATTTAAGCAGTAACGACTTTGCATTTTCTGGGTGTTAATAACCCGATGTTGGGAGTCAATAACTCTCAGCTCATTTTTGCTTTTATCAGCTGAAAACGGAAATACAGGGACTATGGATTTTTTCTTTATGGCCCATACAGTCTTTCTCAGTATTTACAGGCAAATACGTATCTTGCGTATCAGCCAACCTAAATGCCTGATTCATTTGTCAGGACTGTATTCACCCCACAGTCAGTCTCACATCACATAATATTTCGTTTATTGCTGTGCTGACCAGATCCCCGTGCAACACTTGAGCAGGTTAAGGGCTCAATCTTCTGAAGTGATGAGCTGCTTCATTTCAATGCAGCAGTGAGACTGGGACTGAAAATAATATAATTTCTGGTGTCACATCCCAGTCAAACTGACTTCAAGTACTGGTCCCTTGCTTTTGACAATATTTTCCCCATTGCATTGAGAATAGCACAGTTTATTTTTTTTTATAATCTTGTTGGATTACACCTCTATTTACACAGCATTGGGCTATACATTATAAGCACTTACACAAACTAACGAGTAACCCTTTTGCTCTGTCTGCTAAGGCAACCTTATAGGCATTCTATAAGATCATGAACTCACAAATCCCAAAATATCTTTCCACTTAATCTTGGAGAAAAACTAAATATTCGGTGTAATGAGATGCAAAAGGAAGAGCTGTGCTATAGCATGTTGAAGATTTCACAAGAAAAGTAACTCAGGAGTTTTCATATGGCATCATCCCCACAACCTCCCACATACAAACTAAACTATACTTGGCTGGGATTTTATTTTGCCTTTAGTAGAGCTGAATGTGAAATGAGAAAAAGGTCAAATCTTCCCAAATAACAGTTTTAGTTAGTGACATATGCAATTTAATTGTATTAATCTACCTTGATTTTCTGAACTAATATCTTTTCTTTATTTAACTAATTATGCTATTTAAATAATTTTCCCTTTTCTCATAGATTTTCAGGCAATTGAATAAGACAAGTGTCTGTGAGTGCCATCATTTCAGCATTGCAACAGTCTAGTACAGAAATCCCAAAGATTTTGAGTTTGTTTTCTTTTTATTTTCCGTGATGAGTAAATGGCATTGAAAGAATATACCACATAAAATACAGGAACTATCAAGAAAAATGAAATTTTTTCTGTGTCTACCCTTTATTGCAGGCCCTGGAAGTTCTCTTTACTTCTCAAAAGTCAGTTTTCCTATTTATGATGAACTACCATGAAGAGCAGGAGAAAATCCTAAAACAGTGGTGCGTTGGCTGCAGCAAATTAGGATAGAAAAAGATGACAAAGCTTTGCATTCCCTTCTTGTCTTGGCTGAGGAGAATAATCAGTGTGAGTTAATCAGCTATGTGCCTTGTAATTATTTTGTACTTTCAAACCTCACTTGATACTACATTTGAGGGAATCTTGTCTGTTGTTTCATTCAATAACGTGAGATGACAATGCCTCATTAAGTAACAGAGATGGGCCCAGGAATAAGAAGTTATTGATAGCGTATCTACGCCCCAGCTGGCACTGATTAGGTTCAGTTAATTTTTGTTAATCCATGAGGTTTCCTCTCACTTCTTCCTATTTTAGGGCAGGATTAATTTTAAAAAAACTATATTTTCTGCAGAAAGCTTAAATTGAAATGTAATAATGTCAAATGCATTTTACAATTCTGTTTAAGCTGTTAGTTTTTTAGAGATATTCCCATGGCCTGAGATATATCTACAGCATCTCTTGTGATGGGACAATCATACCCAGTGACATGCCTTTTGGAGAACTGAGTTAGCTGGAAATCTGATGGGTGATTTGGGGATCAGCTTTAAGACAAGAGAGGATATATGGTGTCCTGACTCTACTTTTTGTCAACATTTCTGTTAAAGTTCATGTCTGTTTTGCAGCAGGTATTTTGCACAATGGATAGAATTTTCAACAGCTGAGATAACTCTACCCTAGAAAACAGCAAGCGTGTGACCCATGGGCACGTTGGGTGGCCTCCAAACCATGAGAGAGAGGAACGAGAGAGCAACATAGAGAAGAAAAGCAGGAGGTTATCACCAAAACTGCAATTAATTGTTGGACGGAGCCTGTATTTACCGTTCAGACTGCTCCTGTCAATGAGGTTGGTGTCCACTGGCCAGTAGGACCCATCCCCGTGACGACCTGTTGACAGAAAAATGCATAAGATACGGCGTGACAGGGAAAGCTGCCAAGTCAAGTTTGTTGCTTGAGACAGCGCCTGTTTGACAACTCTTAAACCATTAAACAGTGCAGGAAAAGTCATCCCATATGTACTGGGGAACAATCTGCCATCAAAGCAGGCTTTTGAAAGCAAGCTGAATTTCAGCCCTTTGAGCAGCTTGCCTTGTTCTGTCGGGTTTTTTTTCCCCTCCTCCAGATGTGCTCGTTAAAGTGACAAACTAAGGTGTGTTGGCGGCATCCGTCTGTGCCCCCTCCACGGGTGACGGGAATAATTCAGACAGCTGCTTTTGCACACAAGTGGCTGGAACCGCGGTGGAGGGATGGTGCTGTACAGAAAATCGTGGGCACATTCTCCACCTGCCAGGTGGCTTTCCATCACTATTAAACAAGCTTTCTTTAATTTGTTTTCCCGCTTGTGGAAACACAACTCCACAACTGCTTGGTTTTTACAAGAAGATTGCTTCTTATCTAACCCTGGCTTAAAAGCAAACAAACAACAACAACAAAAAAAAAAAAACTAAACCAAATATATATATAAAAGAAAGAAAAAAGAAGGGACATGATTATTATTCCAAAAAATGTTTTGGCTGTTGAGGCAACATTTGCACTCCAAATTAATATAATAAAATCTAAGGTGTTCGTCTTTTCCCCCCTGCTTTATTTTCTCTTATTTATCAGCTTTGGGCTAAATAGCCATGATGGTATATCCACATTTCTGTCAAGACAAGCATCTCTGCTTCCTCATGTCTGACAGAAGGAGAGTCACAAAGGTTGGTAAAGTCTTACCAAGCTTCTCTTCATCTCTACTAGTATGGGAGCAAGCAGTCAAAGTCCATGGCAGAAGAAGTTTGGGGTAAAAGCCACTCTTCTGGCAAAGCCCAAGCTTATGTCAACAGCCTGCTCTTGGTACGTGCATACTGCACACTAGCAAAGACCAAAACGTGGCCATCTCATTCCTTCAAAGCTAATTATTTTTTTCATTTAAGTCAAATGAACCTTCCCAGGTGGCATGGGCTCAGCTGATGCCAGGAGTGCTCTGCTGGGACAGCGGTTCAGGGAAAAGACATCTTCCCTCACGACAGGCAGGGCAGAGGCTGCTGGAGCACCACATCAACATCAGCTCCGTACGACCCTTGGGCACAATCTTCTTTGGGTCTGCAAATACTACCTGAGGGTGGGGTTTGATTGGTGAAGGAATTATGTAAAAATTCTGAAAATTTAATGCAGGGCAGGGAATTACCAGGGGTTATTCCAGGTAACTTCTACATCAAACAACCACCGCCTCTTGACCGATTAGCAAAACCCCTGGTTTCTCACTTCCCTGCAGTTATTTGTTGCTGTGGTGCACTGTTAAACAACTGCCATATTTCTCACCAGAGGTACTTGTATTTCTGTAGATTGTAAGGAAATTCACGTGCATAACTTTGTCTACCAATTTGGAGAGTATTTTGTGATGAATCGCCCTAAATAAATGGAAGACGATTATCATCAGAAGAGACTTCAACGTAATCATCTTTTCAATCAACATAATTGCACAGCTACAACAACTTGATCCCAAGAAAGCAAGGTTGAAAAATGTTTTGCTGTAAAAGCAGACAAAATAGAGATAAATGTAAGGTATATAGTAATTCTGTTTACAAAGATGACACTCTAAAGAAGTTCTATTCGTAGTACTACACTGCAGTGTGTGAATATGTTGTGACCCCGGGGTTATACTGTGCTTAGGAAACTGGCTGTCTCCATGGGATATTGCTAAATGTTATTATTTTTTATGTTTAGTCCACACGGAAACATCTTAGCAGGAGCCTAACACATTGGAAAAATTATTCAGATATTGGAGACAAAAAAACTAACCCTGCATGCCTGACTCTGAAGTTTAGTACTTTTTTTAATTAACGTAAGAGCACTTTTCAAGGCATTATACATGACATTTTGATAGCAAAATTACTTGTGTAAACAGCTGCCCATTTGATTTCTGCTTCTAGTATGGTGACTGGCACCTGGAGATGCCACTTATTAGGGATGGCTGCAACACAGAGGGAGCAACTAGGGAAAGGTTTGGTCTACACCATCCATCTCGGGGGGTTCTTGGGCTAGAAATGTTTCTGAAGTTTTAAAATCATCACAAGGCAACAGAGTCCTCTGGTTTTACTCACTGAAGGCAACCCTTTCCAAAGGCCCAACTTCTAATCAGAGACAATTTCAATCATAAGATACAAGGAGGTAAATAACTCTTAACAAACAGTATTTCAACAACACTGTTCATCAGGGATAACCAAGACTAAATTTATGGTAACTGGGCTCTGTTCTGCTATTAAGACATACAAACATTATTCAGTATTTGTATAAACACAGAAATCTAAGCACTCAGAAGATGGGAGGTCAACCTCTGATGCATTGTAATGTTTTATATGTTGAAGGGTAAGTAAGTCTTAAACCCCTAAGGATTATCGATGCTCTGTTCCAAGCCAGAACACATCCATGCACCACTTCTATCTCTAGCTTTCAGTTGTCAATAGTTTAGGTTATATTTCCCTTTAAAATACTCAAATTATGTGCAAGAGCACTGCTTCTTCAAGGCTGTTGCTCCACTTGGTTCCAAGGCCTCAGGCTTCGACTACCTTTATAATAATCTAATTTTAAAAGTTAGCTAATTGTATGCTTCCACTCAATCTTCATCTTCAGTATCTTCACTGTACTCATCTGTTCACCCTGTACTCACTATTGCTGTTGCTTTACCTGCTTCCGAAATCCATGAGACAACTACGAAACTCCTGCCTCAATGAGTTTGGATGGAAACCCTCAGTGTCAGCCAGAAAGTCACGTACAAGGTGGTCATATCTCAACAGATAAGTCCAGATCTAATTGGGGGTTTTTTGGGGTCAAATAATGGACTTTCTCTTCAACTTCCACCAGTTTCCAGTGGAGCTTGTTTTCCTTTGCATTATTCCACCTTTTGGAACAAACCATTATAAAATCTTGACTAATCAGTTGTTTATTTGAGAACTGTCTTCTTTAATGGAGGTTAAACGGTCTTTAACCTCGATTTTCCTACTTTTTTAATGAGTTGTATTAGAGGAGGTAACATACTTTCAGAAGTACCTAAAACTGCATCTGTATGAACCTACATATGATTTCTCACCCCTCACTTCTCTGTTTAACTTCTGTTTTCCCCTAGGTCCGTCTTTCAAATGTTTCAGTAACTCAGGTCTCTATCTGAAAAAGCATATGCCTTTCCCACAACTGCATCTCAGCTGAAATTATATGAAATAAACATTTCAACTTGGTTTTGTCAAAGCAAAAAAAAACAACAGTTCTTCATCCCCTCAGGTCTCTAGCACTTGGAAATTGGTCAGAAATTCTGTTTTCATTTTGTTGTAAATCTGTTTCCTTTTTCATGTTTTACTTGAGTAGCCTTCCTATTTACAAATTTCAGGTATCCCTGCATGGCACGGGCAGATTGGTGGATGTTGAGGGAATGCTCCCTCCTTGCAAAATGCTCACTGCAAGCCAACTACCTGAGCTGGAGAGCTGGAGGGGGAATGATGCTTGCTGTCATATCCTCTGGGTCCATGGCCCTGCACTACCACTGTTGTATTTTGCCTTGAACAGCCCAAACTACAGAGAAAATAAGCAGAACAATATTCTCATATGAGACAGCAGAGACTGTAAGTAGTATTTGCTGCCCCATGAGTGTCCCCAGGGAGGTTCAGGCATGCAAACGAAGTCATTGGCTCTCACAGTCAACACAAGCTGCCAGGCATTAGGTGCCATCAGAAGAGCTGCTCTTCTGTTTCAACAGGAAAGCTGAGCACCCTAAGTTAGTTATGGCACTAAGCATGTGGAAACCTGCTCCAGGATAGAGCAGAAGATAGCAAGTTGCCTTCAGGGGACAGCTCTAGCTCCCTGCTGACCTGCAGCCCTCCTAGAAACCTAGAAATAAAGGTGGTCCAACGTAGCAGAGTAAGAGCAGAGTAAGGAGGATGGCTGAAAAGAAAGGGGCAATGGGAGCTTCTGCCCAGAGCAGACACACAGACATCTGAGAAAAATTAAAGCATCTCCCTAGCACCTTGTTCAAATTCAGTATCAACTCATGGGGAGGTAGAAATACAAGTCAGAAGAGAGGAAGGTTGAATAATACATGTTATGTGGTTCGGTGTCACTCCAGAGGCTGACCTTCATCCTGGACACCCGCTCAGCCTGAGACGGGCAATGCTGCGCGGGCACATCGCGTATTCACATGCCCAGCCGGGAGGAGGAGAGGTGAGGATCCATCTCGCTGGGCACGGCTATGCACAAACATTCTCTCTGGTTGGTGATGAGAGAAGGAAGCCTCACCACCACGACTGAACCTGCTTATCTTGGATGGGAAAAGCTGCTTTTTGGAGGTACCCACCTCTCCCCATTGCCCACACTGCCAGATGCTTTCACACCCGTCAGCTTTTAAACAAGTCAGAGCATGACATCTCGTGTCTTCCTCCCATCCATGGTCAGCACCTGATAACGAAGTTGACACCCACATTGTCCTGGTGACAGCTGAAGAGCTCAGTGAAGGCAGGGATGTTTGCAAATTTGCTTATAAGCAAGTATATACTGGCAGACTTCTTGGAAAGATGCTGGGTCTTGGGGCAGAAATGCAAGATTAGGTGAGCAGATACACTAATAGCAGCTGACTTTCTAGTCCTTCTGTTTCAAGGGCACCCAGAAATAGCTGTCTCAGCTATGTCTCAGTGTAGCAGGAAACACAACCAATATGCAGGAACAACCCTTCTTCTTTAAATTTCAAGCATGTCTTTCCTTCTGAGACACTTTCTGTTTTTTGGACCTTAGGAAAGAGTTCCTACACCTGCTTCGTAAACATAACAAGACGACAGAGTTTAAAAGGTGCTTTTTTTTTATTTTTTATTTTCCCCAGAAGGAGTTATTCTGATAAATGGGATACCTCTTATTTCTTTTCTCTAGTGAAGAGCGTTACAGACCACTGCATTATTTGCTTAGGAAGAAGCTCTTTGAAAAATATCTGAACTGCTCATCCTTTCACAGCTGCTACACACAGAGTTTGCAAAATAGCTTCAGAACCAAAAGCCTGGAGCCATCAAAAGCTTTGACAGAAAAAAAAAAAAGAGGCAAACTTGATGCCTTCTGCAGTCACAGTGTGAAACTGCAACTGTTCTGGGGCCGATATCAAGCTGTAGATGTACCAGCAGCCGTTTTCATGCGGGAAGGTATATGCAGAAAAACAAGCACAGGAAGATTTCAAACAGGCAAACAGCAACACGCCTGTCATAATCCAACATGGCAAAGGCTGAACTGCAGAAAGCCAAATTCCAGCTATGACTAGACTGTGCTTCAAACCTTCTTGCTCTGAAAGCTGAAGCAAATGGTGCACTGCTAACTCATGAGATGCAGAGAACTGAGGTATAAAACAGTAGGAGTGCATCAAGTACCCAGTGTTCATCCCCTGTTCAGGAGAGACAAAGTCCCCCAGCATCACCTGGAAACCATTCCACATGCCTCTGGACCGGATGTAAAACAGTGCAGACCACCGTTTTCCTCAAGATTTGGAAACAAAAGCTGTGGATCTCTGTCATGGGTGATTTTTTTCCGTGGGCTTTTCGTTGTCCTGGATATTGGTCACTATGGTCATTGCTCCAGGCATGGGAACAGGAGACCTCCCCCTGGCCTCACCATGGCAGTAAACATTAAATCTGACCTTGTAAACAACCAGTTTACAGTTTACAAAGAGTAATGTCATATATTAAAAAAAAAATGTACCTGTACTCCATATGTAACAGTTTTCCATAGCAATGTATGAATTTATCTAAATAGTTTATATGATCCACTTCATGGCAGGTGCGTTTTCAGAAAACAATTGAACAATCACAATGTGTTGAGATTTCCTAAGATAAGGGGAAATATTTGTTCAAAATTGAGTGTATTTCCTTTTATCAAAGTTTACAGGGGATGTTATAAAACATTTGTAGTCCAAAGGCAGAAATCAGCTTTTCTGATCTTGCACAGATCTAATTCTGATGGCAACACAACTGTTGACAAGTCCAATATTGACAAAATACAGACTAAAGAATTTAATATTGTTTTATCAAATGGAAACAAGGGCAAGACAAAACACAATGAATTAATCTCTTTTTTTGCCCAGTTTGCCTCTATATATTTCAGGTTAAAATCTTAAATAGAGTTTTTTCAGACTTCAGGAAGCCTCTACCACAGCTCATCTGAAAGGAGTTGGCCCTGTCCCACATACATAAAGTTTGTGACAAAAATTCTCCCTTGAGCATCTGAAAATGTAATTTTTTTCTTACTTTTATATTAGCATTTTTACTGCCTTTGCACATGCCCTGCTCTACCAGTTGCATACATGCAAAAGAAAAATCTGAAAAGAACCTGACACATTTACGGGGTTGGCACCCACGTCAGATTTAAAGGCTCTCTTGGGAAGTGTGTGCATCGATTCTCTAGATGCTGATGCTCCTCTCTTTGCCCTTCGGATAACGGTGCTTGCACCCTGGGAGCATTATTTGCATTTCATTCAATGGGATTCCTCATTCTCTGTCAGACAGCTGCAGGCCAGAGCTTCCACAGGATGGGACAGGATGGGCTCAACCCTATCCATCACTCATGGGCTAGAATGAAGGAAGGTATCTCTTGTCTCCTTGCTCTTGTCAGTGGTAACCCTTTCTTGCAGCAGCTGATCTCTGCTCTCCCATGGATCTGCATCAACAGGGAGCACATCTGCCCTGACCAAGAAACCTCTGAAGTTCCCCCCAAACTCTACTCCCCTCCCTATCTCCCTTTTTGCACCTAAGGATGGAGGCAGTTCTGCTGTCCCTTCTAGCAGACCCCACATCTGGGATCTTCAAAGCTCCACCTCCTCATGCCCTGAAACCTCAGTGTCTCTGCCCGAGCACCTCCCATCTCACACACCCTCCAACAGTGCTTTGCTGACACATAAGTTACTTTTGCTTCCTGAACTCGGGAACCATGAGCCGTCATTAGAGACTGATGACCTACCAGAGTTAATTCATGTCATTCAATAAGAATTGCATTTGTGGCAGAGATGGCCCTAAGGGCCTTGTCCAAAGCACAGAGTAATTTAAAAATGTCCCACTGACTTCAGTAGGCATTGGTTCAGGATGATTAAAGAATTAGCTTTGATGATTTCTAAGGCAAATGATCTTTTAGAAACTTTGACTTTGTTTGTCTCAACGCTTGTGCTTGCAGTACAGTTACAGCGAGACCCGGCTCCATCCACTTGTCTTTAACAGAGGTGTCTAAAGACCAAGTAAAATCAAGTGAAGACCTTAGACTTTGTCTTACTAGAATTCATCATTGAGGTTACGTAAAACTGGAAACTGAATTGAGATATCAACAAGTCTATGGAAGACACAATAAAAGGCTGAGAATTTCTCCTCCTTATATACTACAGTCCTAAAGAATGATAATGAAGTGTATTTCAACTACCCAGGAAAAACCCAGTATTTATGTACTAGGAGTGACTGGCTGCGTTTAACTCATGCTGTGCATACCTGCTGTCTGCTAAAGACACACTAACCTCATTTCATTTTTGTAAGTTATTTGACTCAAATCAAATCAAAGAAACCTCACCATACCTGAAGCAACTAGGAATTCATAGGCTACGGCTGCAATCCCAACACAGTTACCACCCTGGGGATATGCTTTAGCCAGACATCACACTGCAAGTACTGACACAAGACAGGCTGAAATCTTTCCTGTTTTAAACTCTATTCGGAGTATCATTCACTAAATAGGTTGCAAACACTGTTCAGGCTGTTCAAGAGCAGTGAATTATTCTGGTGACAGTTTTTCCATAGCAAGGAAAACCCTGGCAAAGGGTTCCCAGAAAACACAAAGCATAAAAGGAAAATGACCCAGACCTCTTTTTTTTTCTGTGGTAGTTTGAGGAATATGTATTTACCTACCATATACAGAGCAGTTGCACTTAATCTGTCATGCTTATTTACACCTCCCTGTTAACAAACTACAGCAAAAGGTGGGGTAGGCAGGCCTCTGCAGGGGATCTGATTCTTTATATCCTTGTGATGGACTTAAGTTCACTACTCTATGGAACATAAAAATGCACTTCCACCTTCCACATTTTTTTTTTTTTCTCCCATAAAGCATTGTAAAAGTAGCATGTAGAGCATCCAATAAATTCTGGACTTTCTGCAATGTTACATGAAAAGAAGCAAGCAGAAACTCAGGAACAAGCCTGATGCTGCTTTCACAGATAATCTGCTTCATGGGCAGAAGTCGTGGGCCAAGTATTGAGAGAGAATGGACAATGTCCATAGGAGGGGTTGTCCAACGACAGCTCCAGCAGGTTATGACTGTCGCTGGCTTTGCCACTGGACACCACAAGCAGTGGAGAAGGCAAATGCTCCACGCGCTATGCCATGAGATCCACTAAATAGCACCACACTATGGCCATACAACCATACAGTTATGCTGAAAGAGAGCAACATGCTCAGTGAAGAACAAAAAAGCAAACTCTACTTTCTATCCAGCCTTACTTTTTTTCCAAGTTAAAAAAAAAAAAAAAAAGAATTTGACACTTTTTCAGTCATGCTTACCAGGTGACACCTTGTGCTGAAACCTCTCCTAGGTTTTCCAAAGCTGCCTGAAAACATCTTAAATGCAAAGTTCAGAAAAATATACTGACAATTTACTTTCAGGCTTCTTTGTAACCTAACCTTTTTACCCTTTAAAAATAATTTTTACTTATTCAAACCTGACATTTTCAATTTGTGTGTTCTGTGGTGCAAAAACTTTGTTCAGTAAACAAAGCAGCTTTTAATTTTATGATTTGTACATTTCTACTTCTTTCAGCAAATCGTACACTGAAATCAGAAGGTGAATTTCCAAAACTGGCTGAGAGCAGGTCTCTCCAATGTGCTACCTTGCTGTGAGACTATATGTGGTACCTGTACAAAGTAAAATCTTATTGAAGAAATATGCTTTGGGTTACCTCCAGAGGTGCTCCAAGTTGAAGTAAAACCTATGAAAGGGCCTAGAGTTGACTCTGATCTTCTAAGTAACACTTCCTTGTCTTTCCTAGGAATTATCCGTTGCAGGTTAACTCAACTCATTAAACTGGGGTATGATTGTACCTGTTAACTCAAGCTAGGGATTTGAGGTTTATACCTCAGTTTTCTTTTTAGACTAGTGGGAAGTGAGAGTTCAAATCCAAAGAAACCTCCCAAGATCAGGTCTGAGTTTTTCAAATGTCACCACGACTGTTCCCTTGGGCAGATGTCACATAACTGTACAGTGCTTTAGCTGTAATAGAAAGAAATACTTAAGAACAAATAGGTCTTAAGTTAAAAAAGGAAAGAATATCCTAGCAACAGACTTCACAAGTACTCAAAAGGAGATAGGAGCAGAGGAACTGTGACTAATCAGACATATATTCGCATTTGGAAAATGTAATGATAATGCCTTGAAAAGTTGACTAAACTTTGCTATTATTAAACAGGAGCTGCTGGTTTGAGAGAAAAGACGATTTATGATTTTTCACTGTGAGGCTTTTGAACTTTAATCTATAACCCACAAAAGGGTGCAAGAGGAGCCTGGTAATTATGCTGAGCTTAATTATACTTAATGTGAATTATTCAGAAGTGCAGCAGAGAGACTAAAAATTTATTTCATACAAAGAAGCTTGACATATTAATTGGTCCTTCAGAAAAGAGACAAAACAATTTCCTCTCCCGAAAATTTACATCTTCCCCATCAAAGCAGCAGCCTCAGCCGAGCAGAACTTCATTAACAAGATTAATTATCACACCAGTGTCTGCCTCATCAGGTGTGCAGCCCAGGTGAAAAGCACGGCCCCCTCCCCGGCACGGCCCCGAGGCTCTGGCAGAAAAGGCGACAGATTGAGGGCACCGTACCTTGGTCATTAGCCATTTTGTCAGGGTGCTCAACTGCAAGAAAGAGACAATGTCATTAGAGGCTGACAGCTCCTCGCAGGCAAGCCGACGCATCCTGGAGAGCTGCGAGGACAAACACAGAATCATAGAAACACAGAATATCTCCAGTCGGAAGGGACCCATAAGGATGGTCGAGTCCAACTCCCTGCTCCTCGCAGGACTGCCTAAAACTAAACCATACAGCTAAGAGCATCATCCAGATGCTCCCTGGACTCCGAACACAGCCTGATCCATGCCTTACATCAGATATTTTCACCACGTTCTTCCAAATGTGAAACCTTTACCACAGCATTTTTTCATTCCCTTGTTGTTTTTCAATACGATCTGGGAAGTTTAATTAAGCCAGAAAGGAAAGAGACAGAGACACTGCTTCTTTAAATAATTGCAATCAAATCACCTACAAGTCGAAAGCTTAGTCTGGCTTATATTAGCATTGTTTCAGGTTTTTACAAAGAGGTTTAAAACTATTTACATGTTTTTGCATAATAACCATGAAAGATAGCGTGATCTGAAGTGCACCAGATAAGACTTCAAAATTCAATAGATATTTTAAAAGCCTTCCTGCACAGCTCCAACTTCTGACTATTTATGATATGGCTGAGGGAATTGAACTTTCTTTGGATTCATAAGCAGCTACGATTGTAGAGCATTAACCAGTCCTCTGCTTAATAAATTATGCAAGAATTTTAAGTACAGGAAATTGAGAGGAAAAGAAGTGATTTGGCACATGAATCTGGAAGTCAAATAACCACTGCCTACAGGTGCAGAACACGCTGCTCCCCTCGCTGCTAAAATCACTACAAAACCTCCCCTAGATCATGGCATCGTCCTAGGAACAAATGGAGGTACTGAACTATCAGTAATTCACATTTACAGACCCATCTATGAGCTCCATGCCTGTGCGAGAGGAGAATCAGCTCCCTTGATGGCCCACAAACCATGATTCTTTCCACTTCTTGGTTTTTTTTTTTTTTTGTTGTTTTGGTTTTTTTTTCTTTTTTTTTTTGTTTGTTTGTTTTGTTTTTTTGTTTTTTTTTTTGTTTTTTTTTTTTTTTTGTTTTTTTGTTTTTTTGTTTGTTTTTTTTTTTTTTTTTTTTTCAGGGATGCAGAGAAGAAGAGCTGATTGCCTCAAACTTTCTAGGCATCCGCGAGCTTGGGCTTCCCCACCGAGCCAACGCCTCGGTCATCTCCCCTCCCCGAGGACAAGCGTTATTACTGAGAACACGGCCCGTGACTGCGGTCACCCCCGTCCGAGCGCCGATGACACCTTAGTGCTGGCACCGCTCGGCGCTTGCTGCTTTCTCCTCCTCTCGCCCGTGACCCCCCCAGCACCGCAGCCGGGTGGGCAGCTCAATGCCACCGGGGGTTCACGTTGGGTGCCCGTTATGAACTGGGATGCGTTCTTGATCCACGGCGGCGAGGCAGCATTAGAGGGCACTGCAGTGCTAGAAATGCTGCCCCACACCATCCTTGCTGAAAGGAGGGGTGCCAAGAGGGGGGGGACCGGCACCTCCTGAGACTTCAGGGCTCTTTTAGAAACAGTACCGTGGCAACTTTTAATCTGGCGTCCTGCAGAAAGCCCATTAACAGTTCTCCTTGCTGATCTTAGCACGGCGGGGATGTCTGAGAGTGTTATGAAGCTCTGCCCACGACCTCTGCCTCCCTCTACCTCTTTCCACTCTTCCCTTTAAAAACACATCTGATCCAGTGTTTTATTCATTATGTCTGTAGGTTCATTAATAGGCAACTTTCTTCAGTCTATGCACGGATGCAATATTTTGTGTGATTCTGATAAGCAGAATACTACTCTTTCATTTTCTTTAATTAAAGGAGCTCAGCACACAAGGAAGGTCTGTAAATGCTGGCTGACATCCAGAATAGGTATGGCTGAGCAGAAGAAACCATAATTGTATTTATTAAGGGTAGTTCTGAGACTTGCTTGTTTCTGTAACAGATGAAAAAACAAATCACCGACAAATTCTTTAAACCATTGAGGAAATCCTCCTTCCTGTCTATCTGTCACCAGTTTGTTCATTTACTCCTTAGTTGTCATGTTTCATTGGGCAGTTGCAAATTTCACAGTATTAATTTACTTCTGCAACTTACTGAATTTCCAAAAATGATTCATTTATACACCATAGAAGTAATATAACACTGAGACTTGGACTTCAACTTCAGGGGCAATCTATGACAATGCAGCGTGACAGGCTGCAAAATGCATATACTATTTGGACGCACTCTGCTTCTGTTCCAGAAACATATAGATGTGTCTATGTATACATAATATTTACTGAAGTCATCCAGACTCAGTAAGGAGTAAGAAAAATCCTAGTAACAACCTCAAATTATGGCCCAATTACGTAACAAAAAAAGGTGGGATGATCAATCACATTTTATCCTCCTATTCCAGATCCTTAAGAATGTGTGTATCAGATTCTTCATGCTTTAAGTGATAAATTTATCCAGCCAGAGCATAAGAAAAGCAGATCCTCAACTGATGTAAACTGTTGTAGATTGATTGAAGTTCACAGTGTAACGACAATTTACATAAGTTAAGGATTTCCCCATTTGCCTGTTTATTATTATCAGTGGAGCTGAGGTGGAAGAATATAAACTCACTGCTCCGTGGTAGTGTTATTTACTACTAAACATATCTCTTTCTCACAGATCACTACATTTTCATTAGTAAAGGAAAGTCACTACAAATACTCACACTGCAATTACAACACAAGTAATGGCTTGGTTTCCTTGGAGGAGCTTTATGTGCTATAATATATGAAATGAGACAGTGGGTGACTTAGTGGATCTTTGATGCTTGTTTAGTGCCTGGTGATTTAAAACTCCCTCTGATCAGGACATAGATTTGCCATCCGAGCACGCATTAACATATGGCACATACATATCTTCTGTTAATAATCATTAAGGGCAGGAAACCAACATTTTTGCATAATTCAGAATGCACTCAAGACTTCAGAAAGTCTTTTCACCTCAAGTGTAGGGATAGATTTGTCAAAAAAACAGTTGAATAGTATTGAACATGACATATTTAGGGTGGATATCATTAAGTATTCATGGCAGGGTATTAGACGTAGTCCTTGTAGGCTATTACAAGATGTAACAAATGTATAAATTCATCTTTTTGGTATCTGTTGATGCTGTCTGATCTAGAATTCATTTCTCAAATGAGTTTTATGGTACTTTGTGTAAACATTACAAAGCAGGTGATATCAAGTGCATAAATCTTTTGGTTTAGTTAGATATCTGGGTCTCTATATCTTTTCATATCTCATTAGTCTGATGTTATTATATTTTGATGCCTCAACTCATTTTAAACTCAGCCTAATAGACATCTTCTGCTTGGCACAAACTGTGAGCATGAAATTAAGTTGGCACCACCCGCTTGATAGAGATGAAGCACCCGCAAAGTGCTATCTCTTCACATTTCATGGCAGTGGAGAATGAATAATCAGGATCTTACCAATAATTCATTCAAAGTGAAACATGACTTGGACAAGGAAGTCCTGCAAACCTGGGCAGGCGGTGATAAGCTCAGAACAAATTGATACAATTTTTCATTTTTTTTTTCTGACTCTCTCTAATTCATGAAAATTGTTGTATAAGGCTTTTCACTCCTCGCCTGAATAGTCGAGAGCAAGCTTTAGAGACACCAATATCGGTGAAGGAAAAAGGGGGAACTCTCTGCCAGTGCTGCTGAGGACGCTTGCTCATTCATTGAAAGCCCTCTTTAATGGCTGAAAATGGAGTTTCCCCTCATGCCCTCAGAGCCAGCAGAAAAATTGGCTATTCACGTGAAAGTTTGACAAAAGACAAAACTCAAATACAAGCCCATGTCAAACAAACAAGCAAGCCAACCCTCCAAAGGGAATGATGGTGTGTCTCCCCTTCTCTGCAGTCATTTTGCTTGGCTTTCGTACAGCTTGCATTAAATGATGTCACCTATAACTGATTAAAAAGAGGCTTGAGTGTGAGCCTCACAGACACAGGTTTGAGACTGAATTTCCCTAATTCCCCTCCAGTCGTGACTTAGGACCAGCCCGCATCCAGTTTCTATTAGCTTCTGCCAAGATGTTATTTTTGCATACAAATCCCTGGATTTTCTCTAGAGAAGACACAGCAATAATGTGCTCACTCATACGCCGTGCTTCTTTCCTGGAATAGGTTTGCTGTTTATGTCATTTGAGTTTTTCATTAATTACACATCTTTCTAAAAGTAATTTCATACCTTTGTGCAAACGAATGAGTGACAGTTAAAATACAAGGAGTAGAGCTGCAGCAAGCACCCTGCTTCCCGCACACGATAGTATTGCTTACATCTTCATAACTAATAATTTCTGGGTAGATCATGTCAGGGCTTCACACAGACAGGCAGCAGGGAAGAGAGAAGAGAAATATCTCTCCATATTAATTTGAAATTGAGTCTGATAAAAGTGCAATGCTTTGCTCTTATAGACACATTGGTGCTGAAATACCAGACAAAAAATAATGGGTGCCCCTGTTTTGCAGCTCTTTTTCATTGGTCACTAAGGGAGAGGGATCAGGTATTAATTAGTTTGTTAATAACAGGTACTGAAAAATATCTGGAACAACTTTCCCCACGCAAAGTCAAATTGCATCTCAGTTTGCTGAGATTTTTAATCATAATTTTGCATGCCTACTCAGCTGATAAGAGTGAGTCATTACAGGTTCCTACAGTCACCGGAGGATCCAAAATGAAAAGGGACCTCCCTAGAGAAATCCAGTCAGATCCAATTATCTTTATTATTGATAGTAGAAAGTTAGGTGGTGTCAGAGCACTTTCCCCAGCTGATTGAATTTAAAAATACAGTCACTGCCTCATTATGTGGTTTACTTTTGTCAACTACTGGATGTAGCATTTTGCTTTTAACTCTCAATAATAGTTTCAGGTAGCAGGATCACTTCTGGCTGACACGGAATTAATTGCAAAACTCCCACAGAGGCATAAGAAAATTCTATGTATCATCAATATCCAGAGGACACAGATCCAAACCTTTCAGCGTCCGGAAGAAAATAGGATCAGAGAGGGGCCCCACTCCCTTGGCGTTGCGAGCTTGGATTCTGAAGTAGTAGACGGTGTCCAGGTTGAGGTCCATGATCTGGTGGGTGAGCCGGTCACCGCTGATGGACTCCATAATCCAGTCATCAATTGGAGCATTCTTGTCCAAAGTATAGAAGAGGATGTAAGCTGAATAGACACAGTATCTCCGTTAGTACTTCAACCAAATTTTAATGTGCTTCTGTTATGAGATACAGATAAAATTCAGATTTCTTAAAAATAAAGGTTTTATTTTTAAAAGCAGGGCTGGCAGGCCTCCAGTCAAACTAGCTTTGAGGAATGTTATGGCAACACACATTTGTCTATTTTTAGAACAAAACCACAGTTACAGTATTCACTGTAAGAAATATAGATTTAACAAATATAAAAAAGAGGTAGCACACATTAAAAGGCTGTTTCAAGTGCATTTCTCAAATTCAGGTGCACCATTCAGTCGGATAGCTGCCATAAACCATACTATATAAGTCTTTAGAGTTTCAGTGCTGAAATAATACTAAATAGCATTAATGACACACATCAATTACTTGGTGCTTATGGGAAGCCATGCAATATTTCTTGGTAACTACAGGGGAAAGTATTTTGGGGAAAAGAATGAAGAATTAAAAATTTTGGTAACTCAGAATGTTGGTAACTTAGAGTATTACAATAACTGCTTAACACTGAATAAAACTGAAAAGTTTTAAAACTTAGAGAGTGGAAGTATTAGAAAATGGTAAGTGTATGTAGGAATTACCTTGCTAGCAAAAGAAATTTTGGGAAGAAGAAAAAAGCCCATGAGCAAGGCTGAGAGGTCTAGCATGCCTTGAAATGGGAGTCTCTGCCTAACTTATATCTTCTTTGATTTTTTTTTTTTTTTTTTTTTCCCTAAAACACTGCCTGCTAAGTAAGTCATATGCAAAAAACCCACTCTAAGTCTGGTCTTAAGTGCCACGCCGCAGGAGTGAGCTACTGGCACGGGCAGAGCCTGAATGGGTCTTCTGGACTTCATCTTTGTGCCTGGATCCAAAGTTACTACAGAGTTGGTGTAAGCCTTATTACTGCTCTTTCCCTATTCTTTTCTGAAACAAAAATGCTTTTCAAAACTCATTCCACATGAACCGTCACACTGGTCATGGACAGGTGGTGTTAGGATAGAAGTGATATATTTTTTTGGGGGGGGGGGTTGTTTTGCTTGTTTTACATTATGGGATTTTATTTAGAGGCTTGTAGTTACTAAAGCAGTTTATCTGACCATGACATTTGAATTAATATATATAAAGTTATGAAAATATATATAAGTTTCTCAAATTAACACAAACACACTCGCTCAAGCATTTGGAGGGATGAAGAATTGGTTGTTAGGGACATATCTGCTCTCCACAAAGAGTTGTTTCCTCTGCTTGATACCTCTAAGAAACATTTGACCAAATGCAGTAAAAAATCCCTACGAGAGTCATTCTTCAACCAAGTGCTACAAGAAAGAAGTTTGAGCATGGATGACAGGGGACCCAGTCTCCTCTCGAAGTTGCTGTCAATGGAAAAACTCTATAAAAGTTGCTACCATGGAGTCATTTCATGCCTTGGAAGTCAGGAAAGCTTTTATTTTATTTTGTCTTTTAGCACTGGGGAATCAGGACCATTAGCACTCATTTCAGTGTGTTGTCCATCAGAATGATCATTTCTTCTCTCTAATGGCTAAATTAGGTTAGTGTAAACAGAGCTATTTCATCAAAACATCCTCCTTTCGGACATGGTCACGGATTGTAAAGTCCTGATGATAATGTAGAGTGAAATTATACACAGTTATGCCAGTCTAGTCTAGGAATAGTTACTGCTGGGTGATGTCCACATGGAAATATATCCTTATTTTATTGGTAACATAAAGCAGGATATTTTCCTGGTGTAACTCACAGCAGCTCATCTGATGCCAGTGAAGCCCTGCTGAGTTACAACTGTTAAAATCTGACCCAGTGCTTTTCACTGCTAATGGTTCACACGGGATGTCACTCTGAAGTGTTTTTCCTCTTACACTGGTATTTCTCCGTGCTTCAGCAGCGTGTTACTAGCAGTAATGGTGATGTATGCACACATTCTCACACCCAAAAATATGTTGTAGAACTGGTCTAACCCAACTGTTAGTAGTAATGTGACCATAATGTGCATGTTTTTGAAGATGAGCAATACTTCTCCTAATAATGATATGACTCTGAGATGTCTGTTAACAGACTAAAATGATCACTTAAATGCAAAACCTCAGATAGAACTCTACTAAATTTTTCAAACTAAATTAGCATGAAAGGTTTGTAATGGAATTCTTAATTAGGCACTAAGGTTATATACAGTATTTTGGAAAATAAAATATGTCATTGTGAAGCATCCATTAAGTTCAGTTTTTGTCAGTGAATATTAGGGGTTTTTCCTCCTCATCATTGCCTTAAACCATTATTGTGAAATTAAATATCTACCAATAAATTCTCCCATGATGTGCTGCACCGAGCAACCTATCATTATGTATATCATGTATTGCATTATTGCCAAACAAAGTACTTATTATAGTCATTTCTAATTATCATTGAGTAGCATGTACCACAAAACCTTCACTTCGAGTGCTGCATTTTTTAGCTTACTTATATTACTGTTCTTAGCATTTAAAAGTAAAGGATTTACATCCCATGAGTTCTAGATCTTGCAGTATTCCCAACATTGCTCTGAATCCTAGACCAAGTTGGCTGATAAAAGTAAGAGAAAAATAAAATAATGGCAGATCAAATAGCACCCAAGAAAAAAAAAAAAAAAACAGAGACAGAGAGTGAAAGCAGCAAATGATCAGAACAGTAAATAAACGGCGAATACAAGATAATGTAAATGTTTACCAGTAATTTTTCCATTGGCTTCCAATGGCGGCTGCCAGCTGACAATGACAGCCCGGGGCTTCCCTTCCCGTGTAATGACTGTCAAATCCTTGGGAGCAGAAGTTGGAGCTTAAAATAATGAAAATAATTGAAAACAGAAGTTATTCACCTTCTTTTGAATTGCTTGCACACCATAGCAGGAATCAACTACTCAGTAGGCATTTACTACTTTCTTACTTCTTTTCAAATGCAAGTGTCCTTAGATGCATTTCAAACATGTAACATATGATTTGTCTAGCAGAGATATTTTAATAGTGGCAATTGTACAAAACACTGCATGAATATATATTAGGATTTGGTGGATAGCTCTTTTCCTCCTGCCTCACAGCTAAACAACCACCATGGTATCCAAGAACATCCAATATACTCTGGGAGCCCTATACATTTAATAACAGTAATAATATTGTACATTCTATATCAGGAACATTTGTAGGTATGTACCAGTATAAAGCAAATATAATTGAGCATATTCATTAAATATACTCTCAGCTTGGGACGTTTTAGACATGATAGAAAATTCTTAGCTTTTCTACTTCCACTGCATTAAAGAAGGATTAAAGGTTGGATTTTTGAGCCTGCAGTGTCTGCTTTGCACCCTGCTATACTAATGCTGGCCATGAGGTCTTGCACAGTGTCTCAGGTATTTTAAAATCAGATCATAAGATGGTGGAGGCGAAAGGGAAAATAGGCAATTATTATTAAAAATAGTTAAGAGAGAGGAGTAATACATTGGCGCTGAGCTCATTGTTCATTTAGTTAGTTTTGATACAGGCTGTAGATGACTTAGAGCATATAGGCAGCATAACAGCAAGGAGAACACAGTGTAAGGGCAACCCATTGTCTGTGTCCCACCCATATGGCCACTAGACAACTTTCTCAAAGGTTCAAAGAACTGCTCCAAAGTCACTTTACAAGGTAAAGCTTTAAAAATCTGCTCAATCATGCTGAGCTAAACCAGTGTGATCTAAAGCACAGAGACAAATCTTCAGGGTGACGAACATTCAATGATCTTAAACAAGAAGGAAGGGAAGAGCCAGCTGCTGTATGGGCTCTGGTCACAAGAAATAGATCCCTTTGAAATAACACTGAGCAGATGGTCTCATGGTATCTGCATCAGTTGAACTTTTCAAAAGTGGGATCCAGAAAGCAACCATGAAATCTGTACACAAACAACAAAAGTTTCTGTCACCATTGTTATATTACTAAGTAGGTGACTACTCGCCAGCTGATGCTTTTTGTGGTAGATTTATGGTGGATTATCTCTTTGCTACATGTGCTGGAATAACACATCCAGTCTGATATGTCCAGAGACATCACCATTGGAACTCGCAGTGTTTCACCTCAGACTTGTCACATCAGCTGCTCCTTGCTGGAAGAATATTTCCTAGCCTGGCGTAGGCAAGCCACAGTGCAGGCTCATAGGTCTTTGAGAAGTCTCCTAATCCTTGGTAATGCCCATTGTGACGTGAGCTCTCATGTGGCTAGGGATATTTGCATTATTGTTATTGTCACTATTGATTATTATTGTTTCTTGGGAGGGTTGTGTTGCATTTAGAAGCTACTCAGCTTGTAGCTTGCTTGGGACACTTAGTCATCAGTTTAAAAACAGTGTACTAGAAGAAGTTCTTGGAGTGCCTTGCTGTTTCAGGGAACTGCAAGAGATAACCCTTTTCATAAACAAATCATACCTGATTTTAAAAGCAACATTTCCCTTCTCTTTACTTTTGCTAAGCCTATCCTGTAATATTCTCCAACTTCACATAAATGATTGTATTTCTACCAAAGTGCATCTGTCTGTATGTACACAGCATCTTTACCTTAAACACTGTTTCCCATTCTCTGACATTAATCCTTTTCCCATGTTTTCATGAACTCACCCTTTCCTTTCCTAGACTTTCTGTCTTTTGTGAGGTTAAACTAGTAAGGCTTCTAAGCCCTGTCCTGTAACATAGGCTTCCCATGCTGGTGACTACCACATGAGTCCTGCTGAGCGGCTGAAGTTGTGTTCTGCTTTCAGCAGATTGTGAACGTAAGGTATCATGAGAAAAATCAAAGCTTTAGATGTTTCCCTTAGTGCTCATTAACACCCCTCATATCAGTAAGACTTGTGCAGGCAGGTCTGGGGATGGAACTTGGCTCTGAGAGTTGCTTTTGAATTATGGGCATAACAACTCTCCCTAGCCATGGCAGTAATCTCCAGAGAATTCTGTATCAATGCTGATATGTACAGTCTTTAATATCATTACAGGAAATTCAACATGCGGAATGGGTACAAAATAGGCAATAAAGATCAGCAGTGCAGGATGCCCTTAATTAACAGAGCTGCTCCATCAAGCTCAGATAATTGCACTGCAATCACATGGGAAAATCTAAGGACACATATATTCCCTCTTATTTTCCCTTTGTTAATTAACTGGCATGTACCGTGGTTCTCATTTAAAAAACCACAACAAATCAATATTTACCAGCAGACTTCATTTGGTGTCTGCTGGTAGAAACTGATTTGTAATGGCACCTACAGTGTTTTCAAGGCCACCAGTCAGCCTTGGGAAAATATAGTGCAGGTACTACGTTGGTGTACAAATGTACTTATTGCTGTCTACAAGAGATGAAGAAGAAAAATATCTTAAGCAAAAGCACAGATGTTCTTATCTATGGACAAGGTATAGCAAGATATATAGGCAATCATAAAGAACGGGGAAAATCTAGTAATTCTACAGTATACAACCTCATGCAGTTCAGTGGAGCTATTTAAAAGCAAATCTACTCGGAATTTCAAGAGAGGGTCTCAATAGCTTATTCTAAAAGAAATGCAAACTTAATGGAAGACCCCACCCTTGTTTAAAGATAGGCTAGGGATCAGAATTTGTGCTGCCATTAACGCCTACCTGATAACTAGAAGTAAAGCCCAGTCCTAGTAATTCCCTACTGTGGTTAACTGAAGGCATGCAAAATCAAAAGAAACAATTACATTTTGGAGAGGATGTTCTTATCTGCAGAGAGCACTATATCTCCATCCCTTTTCACATACTTTTATCCCACTGAACTAGGGTTATATATAATATGTATCTGGTGCCTGTTATCAAAACTGCACTTAGTCCCCTTCAGAATCTGAAGTATCTTTCAGGTCGTACCTTCCTGCTTGGAAAAGACCACTCAAATGCTTCAGAAGAGTAGCTAAATTAAGCCTTCAAAGTAAATTTCATAGAATCATCGAATGGTTTGGGTTGGAAAGGACCTTAAAGATCGTCTAGTTCCAACCCCCACTGCCATGGGCAGGGACACCTTCCACCAGACCAAGTTGCTCCCAGCCCCATCCAACCCAGCCTTGAACACTTCCAGGGAGGGAGCAGCCACAGCAGTTTGTTAATTATGAGCCTATGGTTAATCTTAACAATGGCTGCTTGCTGGAAATGTATAAAAACACTGAGCATAGAAGACATGCCTTATCAAATTGTCAGCAGGGAATTTATATAATTGAACACTTTGCACAAGGTAGATGATTGTGACTTTACAATAAATAGTGCAGAAGATGAAAAGACTGCTCACTTGACTATTATTTTTTTTTTTCCCCTGTTTCTGTGTCTGTTTCTAATTTTGCATACACAGTTTCAGTCCCTGTAATTCTGAGTGTAGGTCTTGGCTGGACTGATACATTGGTCACCAGCACACTGCACAGCAAATGGCTAAAATGTGTCCACATAGCACTATGAACAGACCAGTGAGTCAAGACCTTGAGTCAAGAAGGATGTGCATTAGATAGAAGAAGTCACTGAGTCATTTCTACGAAGTGGATAAGATGGGAAATCATGAACTTGAGACAAAACCACATAGAATTTTGCAAGCCAAAATTTTAAAGTAGCAAACTCATCATTTAATAATAAGAGAGCAATTATTCGCACCTGATCTAGGTTTTCTCTAAAACGTGAAAACAGTTTTAAATTGTTACCTCTAAAAGTCACAGATACTCATTATATTATGGGGCAAAACCTCACACACATGTACTACCATCTCCTAACTTCTTGTAGTGACACCAGAGCTTGGCATAATGACTGCCCAGCTTTGCTAGCCATGAAAAAAGCTGAAGAAATACAGTTAATTTTGTAGATATGCTGTTGGTTTATGGCATTAGGATGGACTCGAACAAGGCTTCTGATGTGAAATAAAAACCCAGAGAAAGCCTTTCCGGCAGCTCTTGCTGTACCTGCTTCATAGGTGGTGGCGTGCGCGGTCATGCTCCAGGTGCTGGACCGCCGACCTTTGGTGACCATGACGGAGAACTCGTACATGGTGTTTGGCTTCAGACCTATCACGGTGTGACTCAGAGCGGTCGTATCTGCTGACTGCAAAGAGACCAAGTGGAGAATGTCTTTAAAGCCAACTTTTTTTTTGCTGGTATCCAAGAAAAACACAGTTACAATGGATTCCTTTTTCAAGCAAAATAGCTCTATTGCTACTGCATAACTTAATGGGAGTACTTTTAGTACCATAAGCAGTTAAACAAATGATTGTGGTGCTTTCTCTTTCTCTTTTCCCAGATAAAGCAATTTGCCATGCACTTTTTTTTTTTTTTTCAAATGTAAATTGAAAGCTACCCCTATGTCCTTCATCTATGCCCATAAGAGGACAAAAAAAGTAGGAATGTTTCCATAACTTAAACACTCATTTCCAGACTCTTTGATGAGTTCCTTCAAAAAAAAAAAAAAAAAGTTTTTAATATCTACTGATTTTTAGTGGAGGCTCAGAAAGCATTGTTACCACTAGAACGATCCTGACTAAGGCTTCCCAGTTCCTGGCGTTAGCACATATTTATGATAGAGACTGAAACATGATCCAGGACCCCTGCATAGAGATGCATTTTTGTGTTCATAAACCACACTTTTGCTTGGTTAAATATAATATGTTATAACATATTATTGATCTGCCTCACTGTGATATGTTTAAACAACTAAATATATTGATATTGATGTGAATATTAAATTGTTCATTTATTTTTAGCTGATTTAGCTTTTTACCTCAGCCTGCAGTAGGGAACAATTGGAGCCAAACTGCACTTGTATCAAAGGAGACAAGTGAGAAGAAAATTATCGGACAAATTGGTGACAGCTGAATAAAATCAATTCTCATGCTTTTCAAGCTACAGAGCTCGGTGTGCAATCCTCTGGCATCAACAACTTACAGGCCAGTGCCTAAATGTGGTGCGCACATTTACATCTTTATATACCTATGGACTAAATTTTACTAAGTAAAGGCAACACACGTACGACTTTGCATCAGAAGACTAGCTTGAGGTTCACATTTGGGAAGCGGTTCACAACCAGACATCTTGCTGGCATCCGTCAGTAATGCCATTCTGATGCTAATGATCAGATGATTCAAAAATAAATTGACTTTTACTAAAAATGGGACATCAGGTTTCCACCACACCACAGAATAAAGCAGTAGTATTCAAGGGGGAGTGGGAGAAATTTACTTTGCAGAGACATTAATGAATGAGCTATATGTGCCTACATCGTATGTTGTTTTATCACAAGTGCTCTGACAGATGTTTTGCATGCTACTTAACAAGAAGACTTAATACAATACCAGATTTTATAATTTTCATACTCAATTAAAACTCCTAGTTCTTGCAAATCAGCAGTTTTGCAATTTACCTGTACTAGGGGTTTACTCCAGCAGAGAATCTCCCTCTATAAAAAGTCTCCCTGAAGCAAAGAACATCACTTACAACCTATGTATTCATAAACTACTCAGCCAAATGACTCAGCCACTTGCCAGAGATGGCAAAATCTACCCGCTAGAGTTTATACAGATTATTCTTTGACTAAAGGTTGTATTTCAATATAGAGAATAATAATTTTCTCCCCCATAAAAGATTTTGGAATAAATTAAATTATTTACAGCATAAAGTATGCCTCAGCATGACTGAGAGTAACTAAATCTGATAACTATCAGTATGGAAGTCTTCAGATACTACACACAATCTGGAAAAATTCACATGGAAAAAAACAATAGGGTTTGAATCTATTCCTGGACAAAATTGTTTTTAGTGGAACATAAAGACATTGGGCTCTTTTTTTTTGTAAAAATTAAGTTATTTGTTTCCAGCAGAGTGTTTTTCTTTGACTGTTTCCCTCAATACTAAATATTAGCATTTCAATAGTCTAAACACCCTTGAAGTCAGTATCACGCTGAGATGAAGGGGGTGTAACTGCAGCAAGTACCTTTACTAATGCCACACCATGCCTGTTTGGGACAGTTTATACAAAGTAAGGCTGGCAGGGCAAAGTTAAATTTATAAACTTCCAACTTCAATGGGAAAGGGTAAACCCTCCGTTATATTAGATCTGATATACAGTTTTGAAGCAATGGGAGACTTTAATGGGAAAATCCCAACAGACTTGGAAATTCAATGCCAATGCACAGGCAAGTGCTTTGGGAACTTATTTGTGAGCCTGATCCAAACCTCTCTGAAGAAAATGGAAGATTTCCCCACTGTTTTCAAAGAATAACATAGTAGGTTTTATCTTGTTTCCTTGAAACAATGTGGTTATTTCAAGAAAACAGACCCTCTTGAAAGATTTTTTGATTGTTTCTGCTTCTGGGTGATTGAACTGGAATAAATGAATCAGACCAGCTCTTCACATGTCATCCACGGACTGGCCAAACTAGAGATGGTGGCAAAAAATATGGTAGTTTCCCTCTTGCTCCTCTTCTCTTCAGTGTCCTGCTCCTTGACAGCTCCAGAGCCCTGCATGGTGGCTCTGTGAGAGACGTCCACCCGCCCATGTTTGCAGAAAGCCAGCAAGATCAACACCTCCAAGCAGGACATGCTTCTTCTGCACAGGAGATTAATAAGGTTATTTTTGATAATTTTTGTTTATCACCCACCATTTTCCACTGCAGGCAGGTCAGTACATGCATTGGAAAACTAGAGAAAATGTTATGGTTGTCTGTGAGTGGCGAAACATAAGGTTGTGTTTTCTGGAGCTTTGATTTCATCACTAGAGCTGCAAACTGGGACTTGCTGTGCTTCCCTGTGCTATGGTCCTGATTTTGTTAGGCATGGAAACCCACCTCTAAACAGGAGTCAGATCAAGCTAGGGCATTCAAAACATTCCAATGCATTGTTTTGGCACCTTTAATTATCCATGAGCTTGTTACAACTGCATGAGCATACAAAATTTGGGTCTAATATTGCAGAACATCATGTCAGCATCTGAGGTTGACAGAAGTATGGCAGTAGATGTAAAAGCAAGGTATGGATTTTTAGACCTTGTAAAGAAGTGCTATTATTTAAAGGCTTTACAGTGGGTCAGCACCTGTAGCAAAAATCCAGCTGACCTGAGTCTCCTCTCAGTGGGCGTGAACACAAGTCAGGAGTAGCACAACTGAAATGTAGAGTTTGTAGCAGCATGTGGACTCAGCCGAGTGCCAGCAAGACAAATTCTTGCAGAGACGTGGAAGGGGGAGAGCTGAAAAATCACACGCAGCAAAGGGATTGAAGGCAAGAGCTTCCCCACCATCATTCCCACGTCTTCAAAAAATTACGTGGGAAGGATCTTGAGATTAAAAGTCTGTAGGGTATGTGTAGCCCAAATCTGAAAGAGGTGGGGAGCCATTTCCTGGGGTTTATAGAGGCCAGCTTATATTCAGAAACATCACTCAGGCTCTAATCAGAGGAGCCTCAGTGCTGGATAGAGCATGGTCTGTTCCACAGTCCTTGTAAAAATGACTTGTATGAGGCTGCTTTTGTTAGGACAGAGAACAGTAAAAAAATGAGGCAACCACTTGCAGTATACAAATACATCCATAGCAAACAATTTGCTATGGATCAATATGATCCTTTAGGCAAGCAAAAACAACTACTACAGTAGGGCAGGGGAGGAAGGACGTGCTCGTCATGGGGAAGGTGGATGTTATATGAGACGTAATATATAAGCTGACAATAGTGGGGAAAGATAGCTTATTGTTCAAAACAAAGCAAACAATAAAGCCTAAAGGCTGTGCTTGCTCCTTCCCATTCCCTGCCCCACCATATCTTTTTGCTGTACCGCATGGGTTTTGGTACTGCTTTCATTAGGGCTTGAAAAGAAGTTCTCGTACAGAAAGAATCACGCTGCTGTCATATCCATTTGAATTGAGTTTTCTCATGAACTAACCTTCAGTTTTTTGCTATTTGGGAATATGTAATATGGATGGGTGGAATTGCCATATGGTGTGGGTGGGTTTGCAATTGGTGTTTCTTCCTTTTCATGCTACCCTATTGTGCTACAAAATCTGTGACTCATTTATATCTGATTTGTAAAGATTAAAGATCAAAACTCTCAACAATTGTTATGTGGAATTAAAATACGGCATTTTCATCCAACTAAGCACTTAGGTTTCTAGGAAGCAGTAGTTACTGAGGCAAGTTTCCTTTTGACTGAAATGGGAATTTTGGTTGAGGGAAGTTCATAAAATCCAATTCAGAGTCTTTGCAAATAAGATAGGAACAAATGGAATAGCTCATAAATTCATAAAGTGTTCAAATTTCACCTTGTACTTAGCACTTGTTGAATAGCTCGTTCTCCATCGCACCGTGTAGAAGCGAACCTCCGTAGTCTTTTGGTTCTTTGGGACAGAGTTGTCTGCCCAGATGACCCTCACTGCATCATGCGTAAGTGCAACAGCCTGGACACCTACTGGTGGGAGCATGGGGGTGGAGATATCTGGGACTGAGGTAGGGAAATCATCAAGCAAAGGATAAAAATCAACTTCTAATGGATCAATGGGGTCTGGGTCCATACATTACCAAATGAGCATTCCAAAATAAATGAATAGGTAAGTTAAACAGAAAAACAAACCAAACCAAAACAAAACATGAACAGCCACCAAGGGGCACACATCACAATGGGTTAAATGCATGGCATTAATGAGGAGGAGGAACATGAGGAGAACAGAAAGAAAGTCATTAATGCAAAATGAGAACGCATCATCAACATTTCAGTTACATCACTACAACAAAACTAACCAGCACTAAGTGTGATTTTTCATGACTTGTTTAAATACTTCCAGGTATGCTGTGTTTTTTTTCACATGAGATGAAGTCAATGAGCACAGGGTGTCTCCTTAAAACGATTTACATTTTCTTGAAAAATTGAATCACTTAAATGATACATTATTGGAAACACCTACAAAATGGAGAGTGTGTCATCTTCCAAATCTGGTTATAGACATGACATACTCTCACATGTGTAGGAGTTACCTATGCTTTTCTGTCTCAGCAGCCTCTTTCAGGCTCTTTCATTGGTTTAGGCTCTTGACAAGAACATGCTCTGCATCTGCTTAAATATTTGTTAGGAAAACCAGAACATAAAAATTTCACTGCTGACGTGAAGATCTTGCAGCTGTTGGTTTAATACTCTCAGAGTGTTAAATGTGCATATCCAGGCATGGAGATGTGGATTCAAGCAGGCTTCTTCTTTGAGGAACAAGTTCCTCTCCTGTGTGTCTGTGATCGGGTGGTTGTTGGGGAGGCAAGATAATGAGCACCATGCGCATGCCACAGTGGTGCGCTGTGTGATGTCGGAGGAAAATTCTGGAAAATTCTGGAGTTTCTCTTCTGCACAATGTTCTGTTTGGCCCCGATGTCATTCACACTCTTGGCTTCTCCAGGGCTCTGTCCTTTGGGGCTGCATGGTGATGGCACCCATAGGGGAACCAGAGACTGTTTCTACTCAGTTTAAATACCTCTGACCTTGTTGAAGCAGCCATCAACTTCTGGTCTATCTTTTAAAACTATACTTACTGACTCATTATTAACCACTTGTGATTTTTCTAAATACAATTTTAAAATGCAGTGGGCGCACCAAAAGCACATCAAAAGGTTGCTTGGGGTTTCTTTTCCCCTAAAATAATGTGATAATTAATTAATCAAAGCATAAATGACTCCAGTATTTCCTTACTGACAGTTGCTACAGTTTGTCTGCTCCATGTGCAATTCCAGCTCCTGACACTCTTTGATCAATCTTGTTTTATGGTTTTGTAATTCTTATTCAGAACTTCAGGAGGTCACAGCCTTCAGAAGGAAAACAGAGGATACAAGGATGTTTAAAATGTATGATAAGCTATTAGGTTCAACCTGCTTCTTGTGTTGCTTCTTTCATCAAAAGCTGCTTTCTAAGAAGCTTGAAAATGAGTGTTGAAGGAAATGAAATAACTTTAGTTTTGTTGTAATGATCCAAAACTCAAACACATGATCCACACGGGAAGGGATGGGCAGCTGAATCTCTTTTTGGCCCCAACCTGGTGAATGGAGCTTCTGAAAATTGAAAGTTAACAGTTTCTTTTTCTGAACTGAAGTTTTCCGTAAGAATTGGCTGTAAATTTTGGAAGGTGAGCAATACCTGTTTATGTTGAGGTTTTTTTACAAACTTATGATGGAAGTTGATGTTACTGGAGCTGAGTTGATATTTTAGCAAATACTGAACTTCCTTTCTGCTTTTCTTTCCCATACTGAAAACTGAAGTCCTGCTATAGAGGAGATTATGAAGAGAGGCTGGGTTTAGCAAAGTAAATGGTCAGACTCAATCAAGAAAATTCAGTTTCTGAAACATGTCACTACCTACCCGAGGAAGAGAGAAATGTCTATAATCCACTGGTGGCTGAAAATAGGTGCCTAAATACTGCCTCCATTTTCCACCAAGGTTTCATTTGCTATTATTTACTCGTGGACATCTGTCATTTGAAAATTGCAACCTCTTCCCAGAAAATAGCTTCTTACTTTCTTTGCATTTGTTTTGCAAATATTGCATGTTCTATAACTTTAGTTTGCACATCATATCCACACAAACAGACACCAAGGTATTTCTACATATATGTTAAATGCACACACAAAGACGCAGCTTTTAGTTTTTCTTTGGTGGCTAGGGTGCATCAGCTCATCTGCTGCTTGGGGAACACAGTTCCTCTGCTTTCCTGATTTGCTAAAATTCTTTTTTGAGATGTTTCTCCATGAATGACTGGCTCCTTTCAGAGGCTGCATCCCGTGGGTGGGAGGTGGTGGGAAGCTCTGGGTACGGATGTCTCTCAGCAATAAGAGAGAAGCACTGAGATGGACTGCTCATAGATGATCACTGGGTCAGTTCACCAAAACAGAGCCCAAGCCTGAATTATCTTTTTTACACCTGGATATTGTTTCATTTATTAAAGGTTATATACAGACATAAAATCAAATCCCACAGGCCAGCAGTGTGATTTTTAAATAGAATCAACAGGGAACAAAAAACTTGAAAATAAAAGTATATGCGGATCCTGAGGCAAACACACTGAAAAGTATTTTACAAGACACACACTCAGCAAGAATGACCTCAGTAGACTCCAGACAAGAAGAAAGATTAATAATTTTGAGCCAGAAGTTCCCTGACACTTATTATATCTAATGTAGCTTGTTACAGTTGTCCTTGATTGTGTAATTAATCTCTTTTTTTTTTTTTTTTTTTTTTTTTTCTTTTTCCCTTCTGACTTTCCAAGATTTCTTATGGGAATACTTCACAAAACCATATGGATAAAAGATGTTTTTCCTTGTAGAACCACAGAAGTGCCATTTGGTTGATTTATTCCTCATGGTCCACCCAAGCCAGCGTCAGTGATTGGTTTTGCTCTCAGTGACACAGCTCCCCTTCCAGGCAGCTCTGAACACCATGGGTGAAACACGAGAAAAAACTTCACCAAATGATGGGAAAACAGAGGAAAAACACTTTTTTTTTTTTTTTTGATTTTTTACTTTTTTTTTTTTTTTTCCTCAGTTCTGTTCTTTTAACCCCTTGTCAGTCCCACACACACACCAGAAAAACCACAAGGCAGTCTAGAAGACAGTGTACATAAGAATAATTCTGATTTTATAGTTTTGCTAGCATCCTAGCAATGCATCTGTGAAAAACAGCTGCCTAAAAGCACCCTGCTCCATTCCCTCTGGGTAATCCCTTTGATGAGCCTTATCCTGCCAGTGACATCTCATCTATATGTTCCTTCACCTTTTGCAACCCCTTTACATGCTTTTGTAGATGTGCATGATGACTGTGTTTTTAGCTAATTCCTTTTAATTTAAACTGCTTTAAAAATGAAGGAAACAAAAATAATTTCTTCTGGACTTAATTCAGCTAAGCTATTCACCACTATTCTGCCCCGATCTTTAAATATTTAAATTGTTTGGGAGTCATGCTTCTCCCAAGCCAACCCGCACTGAGGAGCAAGCACTTGTGAGCATCCCACTGAATTTATACAGCCAATTTCTGGAAAGGGTAAATAATTCATTCTATCTCTGTAGTTACAATAAATTGGAAAATTAAGCTGATTTATTTTAGCAAGAGCCTGGAGGTTGCAGAGCTCTTTTCTTCCATGGCCTTGACTAAAACATTTTGCCTAGTGTGCACCTTACTAAGGTGAATGCTTACTGACGGGGAGCAGGTTATGAACCGGCATTTGCAACTCACCTGTCATTGACCTGGTGGTCGCACTTTCGTACAGAGGCACCCCTTCTCCTGCGTTGTTAAAGGCCTTTAAGGAAATCACGTAATGGGAACTGGGCTCTGCAGGAGAAAACAAATAAGGCAAAACAAAGCACACACTGTTAGAGTCAGATCTGGGATGCAAAATGGGCAAGTAATTTCCTGAAAAACAAGAGAATAAAGTTTAAGCAAATGCCTGTGCAAAGTAAGTGCTGAGCAAAACTGCTGCCCATCGCTTTTGTCTCCCTTCCAGATGCTTTATTTATCTCAGTCTCCTGGTGCTACCTCCATCAATAGTGAGCTCAAGTTCTCCTTTGAGACACCTGCAGCTCCACCTTTTTTGCATATGTCGTGATTTATATTCAGCCCAACCCCACGCAGCCGCTCGCCCGCCCTCCCCTGCCCGGGGATGGAGGAGGGAGCTGGAGGGGTAAAGGGAGACTCGTGGGTCGAGATAAAAACAGTTCAATAATTGAACTAGAATAAACCAATGCCAACAGCAGACAGTCCAGGCGGGCAGTGCACGACGCGATCGCTCACCACCCACCGACCGACACCCAGCCCGACCCCGGCCAGCCATCCCGAAATACCAAGATCCCGCCGTCGCCATCCCGGCAGCGAGAGAGAACCCCCCCTTCCCGGCCGCCCCTCCTTTCTATACTGAGCACGACGTTACACGGTGTGGAACATCCCAGTACCCAGTTTGGGGCCGGTGCTCTGGCCGTGCTCCCTCCCAGCTCCTTGTGCACCCGCGCACGGGCAGGACACGGGGAGGTGGAGAGCCCTCGGTCTCGCAGCAACAGCTGAAACCATCAGCGTGTTACCAGCGTTCTGCTCACCCCAAATCCCACGGGGAATCCAAAGCACGGCGCTATTCCACCTACTGAGAAGAAAACTTAACTCTACCCCAGCCAAAACCAGGACAGCATAAGAAAGATGGAACTAACTTCATGTGCATCATCCCTAACTCCTGACCCACAGCCCGAGCACAGGAAGGCTGGGGCGTGCGGCGCTACATGTGGAGCTCCCCGGCGCCAAGGGATGCTGCGGGGTGCCGGAGCCCAGCACGCTGCTGGACGGGGCTGGGGGAGCCGGGGCCGTGGCACGTAGCCCCTCGTGAGGACACCCTGCCATCCCCAGGGAGGAGATGGTTGAGGGTCACCAGCAACACGTATCCCGAAATTCTTACCAACGAACCGCCCGCCTCCAGCTCTCCCAGCATGGCTGGGGTGGGACTCGTGAACCCAGCCCAGCTGAGTTCATTCACCCCTGCAACCCCTTTCTGGACGCTGGGTAAAAATTCTCCCTCCCTAATTTCTTGATGTCAGAATTACGCTGGTAATAGCCATTTGACCACTTTTTACCTCGCTGAGAACTCCTAATGCTCTGATATAAATATGAAGGATGTGGCAAAAAACAAATAATACACAGGAATTAATTTCTGGATGCATGGACATGCTGCCCTGGTTTGTGTGTTCTGGTTTACGAGGGGGCTACTCTAAATATATCCCTATATGAAAACAAAATGAAATGAGCACATGAGTTCCACGCTGTTTTTTGCAACTGATTTATGAGAAAAACAAGGAAATTCATTTTCCTGACTTTTCCCTGTGAATTGTTTCATTCTCCCCTCTTAGTGTTTTTTGGTTTTTTTTTTTTGTTTTGTTTTTTTGTTTTGTTTTTTTTTTGTTTGTTTGTTTTTGTTGGTTGGGTTTTTTTGTTGTTGTTGTTGTTTTTTTTCTTTCTTTTTTTAGCTATTAATTCTATTTCTATAGAGGAAAATTGCACTGGGTGCTCATATACCTGCCAAAGTTGGGAACTGCCTCCTCAAAGTTCCTTACCAAAAAATAACAAATGTTTGTATGTGAGAAGGCATTTATTAATGTGACATTGCAAAAGACCTGCTGCAGAATTACATATTTCATCTACATTAACACCAAATCAGCTCAGCATGATTAATATTATTACAGTGAATCTGAAATAAGTAAATAATCTTTAAGTACTTATTGCATATTGTTACTAATATCCTTTCCATACACATATTTTGTACTTAATTTTACATCCAGAAGAAACAGTGACATATTTGTTTAATATTCAGGTGACTTTTGTGCTTCTATTGCAAAAGAGCTAAACTTTAAAAATTGCCAAATGAATGACTGGTGCATTAATAACTCCCTGCACTAGGTATTGTATGGTTATTAATTCAGTTGGTACTCACTGTAATATCATTAGTCATAAGGAAATTATTTTGTATTCACAGAGATGTAGTATATATTTTCATATGATTTCCACTCTATATTAGCATACTACTTTTAATTTCTAATTTACCTAAGTGTTGTAGCTCTCCAGATTCCACACAAAGATTTATTTATTGAGACATGAAGTCATTATTTAGCTGAGAGTTTAATAATGTCACATTCAGTATTTTCTGCAGAAGGCAAAGAAATTCATATTCACAGTGTAGCCCGACTCCATCTCTTCCTTCTACCCATGTCCCAGCTGCTGTGCCTTCTTAAGAGTTTTGAAAGAGGTCTGGCAGAGTGATGCAAGGGGTTAATGCAGACCATTCATTAGGGTAGACTTTGGGAAATGCAGGGAAGAATACCAAAAGATGAAGTTTTAGGACTTTGAGACATACCAGGTATTTGCTATTACCAGCAGTGAACTCGGTGGCTATAATGAAGTGGACATATAGAGACAGACAGTGGATTAATCTTATTGCTTTCTGTAAATTAGGCACATGGTTTAGTTTATAAGGGCTGTCCCTACTGTGACTGAAGAGACAAGCACCTCTGTAGAATAATTCATCGCATGCTGAGACAGATATTTAAGACAGATAAGATGAATCAGACTCTAAGGGTTGGTATGTATCTCCACTGATTATGGCCAGAGCAGAGATGTCTGGACTTCACTTGGTTTAAATTTTGAATAACGAGGCATTAGTCAGAAAAAAATGTCACCCTGAACACTGATTTTTTAAATGTGAAAGATTACTTGAGAAACCTGATTCTAGAAACTACTGTCAAAACCCCACGAACTCCATAGAACTGTCGTGTCTAATCAAAATAAATTGTGAATTCCCAATGATAAGCAAAATGAGTGATTTGCTATTAATTTGATCATGAAAAATATACTCACAGAAATTGATAAATTAGGTAGAAAAATGTGATAAGTTCATGGAAAATTTAAAAATGGAGACTATATAGCGCATACTTCATTACAACTGCCCATATAGCACAATATATAGTCCATCAAATTTTATAAATTGAACAGACTGACATATGATTTACATTTGTAACTAGGCTGGGCAAGGTTTCATTTACAAAAATGAGCTAAGATTGGGATGTGGATGCAATCTGTAGCTCTCTGTTAAAAACACAAAAAAAAAAATCAGGTGGTTAATTTGAGCTGCTGCTAACTGGAGCAATAAATAATTGCTTCAGTCTCCTCTTAGATAAGATGGCAAAAGGTAATTTGCCATGGTACAGTGTTTGAACACAGTATTAGAGTTCAGTTTATTCCATACAATGAAAAAGTGGAAAAGTACTAATATTGTCACGTGGCAGACAGTTGCTTTTTGAACTGCATTGTATATTAATAACACTTACAGGGTCGTTCTGGTGCTCTTTTTGGCAAAGTGCCACTGACGAGTTCAAATTAAGAAATCTTTTTAGTGTAAACCTACTAATAAGCACAGCAGCGAATGGAACAGAAAGATCATTAGTGCTCCTTGCAGAAACAACGCAAAGAAACAGAGAAACGGGGAATTTGAGATAACAATTGCAGTGGAGCTGCAAAAATTCACAGGTAAATTTTCAATTTTTCTCCATCGACTCTCATTCATCATGGTGAGGAACAAAACCCTGTAACAATGAAGTTACCATTTGCATTTGCTATTCTGGAGCAGGAGGAGAGAATTATATGCTTTGTTTTCTGGTAGAAGAAATTTTCTCTTGCCTTTGAAGAAGCTGAGCAAAGAATTCAGCTTTAATTAGAGCATCAGCCAAGAATCCCCATGTCAGTGTTGGTGTGAAACACACTCTGGAAATAAAGTTGTGTTCTGCAGTTCAACTTAAAAAAAGACAAGAAGTTCAAACTAAGCATGAACAAAATCAATTTATTCTGCTGTCCGATGTTATTACTGGAGAGAAAATCAACAAATACCAACTCATTCAAGATACCACAGTTGTCTTCTTCTTTAAGAGGGCAAAATTGTGACATACCTGCAGCCATTACATGGGGTCTTTTGACAAATGTTGAGTTTTCACATATAATTTAATTTTACCTTTAAATTGTGTTTCTCTTTAAACTATAAACTAAATGCTTGACAACTGGATGTGAAACCCAATCCAAGGAAAGCTCATCACCTTAAACTACAGCGTTGGAAAGAAGGTAGTGTACTCAGCTGATTTTCCAGATCATCTCCTTTCCTTCTCAAATAAAAATTCATTCTGAAGTCCTCTTCTCACCTCCCATTTTAATAATTATGTGACACGGTGGACCTGCAGATTGGTACCCTGGGAGAGCTGAAGCTAAAGTGGGGAGTCCTGATCATCATGAAAACATTGCTCAATCCCATCATAACACTCAGAGCTACTGTCTTGAGCTTAAGAACATCTGAATTTCTTCTAATGTAATGCAGCTAATAAAATAGCAATAAAGATAAGTTATATGTTCAATAATCTTCTCCTAATGCCTTTGTCAGTGCCTTTCCTGATCCTAACCAAAAGAATCATTTGTGCTTTTTTTTTTTTTTTTTTTTTTTACTTTTTTCACCATTACTAAGCTGTTTTGAACTGTAGGCTACAGAAGTCTACCCTTGGGATGGAAGAGACAGCAGTAAGGTATCCATCATGAGGAGCTATGGCCTCCCTGTAGACAAAGTGGAAACAAAGATATTTTGTCAAAACTGATGAAGTCTGATAATATCATGCAGTAAAAGGACAGGGTGGAAATTGCAGCAAGAGAAACTCCTATTAGTTACTAGGAAAAAAAAAATAAATAGAAGGATTCTCAAGCACTGAGGCAGGGGCCCAGAGAGGCTGTGGAACACCCATCCTTGAAGGTGCTCAGAAGTCAGC